TAAGAGACAACGCACCATATTTATGTGAATTCTCACCAAAATTGTGCTGTTATTTAATTTGCATCAATGAAATGCAATAAGCTGTGAAAGAACTGAATTAAAGATAGCATGCTTTCAGAGTGGAGGCTTTTTGTGCACTTGCTCCAGCTTCAGGTGCCAGACAGCACAAGTACAGCATTATTTTGTTTAGTTTTTATGCAGCTTATTACACTTAAAATCTTTTTAACATTAAGCATGACCCATGCTTTGTTTTAAAAATGTCTTTATTTATCTAACAAGTCAATAACTTCAAGCAGTCCTTTGCAGTGTAGATATATTAATGCACCACAATATACATGATACAGCAAAATCTCTATACACTTTACATTGTCACCAGAATATATATCGGCCAGCCCTATTTAAAGCTTAACGTTGTGCCTCTCTCTTACCTCTGCGTCTGTCACCATCTCTGTGCTGCTTGTAAACACGTCTATTGCGGAATTCTGGACCACGGAAATCATCACGAGCTTCATTAAAGACTGGCTCTGGCAGCACAAACGCCGTTCCTGTGTCAGATAATAACGGGGAACAAAGACAACTTGAAATTAGGGATGTTAATCCGATGACAGTTTGACCAATGGTTGACCGTATCAACGTTAACCGATCAAAGTTGTCTGTAGTTGGTTTAAAAAAAAAAAACGAACTCTGCAGATGAAAAAAGTTCTCACATATTGGGCAAACTGCCAGCATTGCGTGTGAAATGGCTTCATCGCAGGTACATTGGCATATATTTCAGCATGTCATATGAATATAGTTTCATGGGCTTTATTTTTTTCAGACGTCAAAATATCGCGTAGCTTACGTTTAAGCAATCCAATTTTGTAGTTCTTTTTGTGCTCGGATTCCTACCCGCACCTCGAAGTTACATAGTGCCAGTGAAAGCGATACGACACTGTCAGGCTATGGCAAGTATGGTAAGTCAATGTACCATCTCCAGGGTTTTGGAAAAATATTAGTTGAAAAAGTTACATAGTAGTAGTGCTTTAATAAACCAATAAAAACATTTGGCGAGAGAACGCAGCGTTTGGGTTTGTGCGCTCCCAAGGTTTGCGAAAAGTAAAGGCTAAAACACTCGAGGTTAGAGCCAGGGCAGATGACAGGATGAAGCGTGCAAAGAAAAGTAGTGTGTGGGACCATTTCACCAAAAATAATGACACAGATGTAAGTTGCAAATTGTGTGATACAGTGCTTAAATACAGTAGTAGCACATCATCTATGATGTATCACCCAAAAACGCAACACCTGCAAGCCTCTTCAGGTAAAAAAGGTAGCCAAAGCCAACCTACCGTGTCATCTATGCTAGCTGGTAGGAAATGTGACAAACAGCGCTCAGAGACTATTATAGTGTGTGTGAGCGGGAGGCAGAGCGGCAGAGATATGTGACAGAGTTGTAAAATTGCAGGTGCAGCTCGAAATGGCTGTTATTTCAAATAGCGTAGCATATTTTAAACTAATCGGTTAACCGATTTCAATCGGCTAATGAGGCTTGGTGGTCGGTCAAGAACATTTTTAGTTTTCGCCATCCCTACTTGAAATATCCTAATGTATTCAATAACAGAAACCATAACATAAAATATATCACACAGGCATGATCATCTGAATCAGCCAAGTGAATACGAGAATGGGAGTAGCACCTTTGGGTAGAAAGTTAGTGTCATGGTCGTTGGAGTGGACAGACATCACATCCTCTGTTCCACTCTCAGACGAAACGTCTGACTCGTTCATCCCGCTGTGTTTGGTGACAACAGCCGGTTTCCTGTAAGAATAACAGTTCACAAATGAGTTCACTAAGTCAGAGCACAAAGGGTGTTCAGATGCGGTTCATCCTTTATTGACAAACCTTCTTGAACGAGCCGACGACAACATTCCCACTTCTGAGGGACCACTGGGCTGAAATGAAAAACATTTTTAATGAAAATCAAGTTCAGCCAACTTAAATTACAATGTTAATCTATACAATAGAGTGCCACAGGACCTAAAACTTTTAAACTTTTTGTTCCATCATCCCAAAGTCAATGGGTTTTTGTTTGAATGCCTCAAATAACAACTGTGGTTATTACAAGCTTAAGATATTTTTTCTACTACATAAAATACATCACCAAGAACCCACTTTAAGTTTTTACGTGTCTTGAAAAAGGCGGTTTCTAACCTTTTGGCTAAATCGAATTAGATTGTCAGGGGCATTAAACGTCATCATGGCAAATCTACAGGATCATGGTCTTTAAACTCATGCTCTAGCAAACTATACTAAATCAAACTTTCCAAATTGTAAATTTGAAAAAATTCCAGATTTTATTATTTTTTAATTTTTTTAAAGGTGCCATCTAACATAATAAATCAAATCCTACTCCATATTCCATAACAGATGGGGGCAGTATACTTCCAGAAAATGACTTGTGCTCCTACCATCGCGCATGTTATTCAAATCATTTGACATGATAGTAAAAGGTTGGAAGACCGCAGTTTCACATGGAGCATTTGGAGATTTTTAGAGATCAGAGACTCAATGAACAACATCTCAACACTAAATGATGAGGACCGCCTCATAGACGCCTGTCTCAAAAACACGCTGGTGCATTTCGACGATATGGGAAAATAAAAGCTTGGGCAATTATTTGAAGATTATGGTATTCGTTTTGTTCATATTACACTTTTATTGTTAGTGAATTAATTTGACAGACAGCATTCGCTGATGTTGATCAAGCTAGCGCCGTGAATTCACCGTGAGACGCACGCAATTGACACTTAGCAGGCAGGTTAGTTAAGCTCTCAGATTCTGTCAATTTTATTACGCAATTCAAAGAATAAATACCGTTTTGGCGCTTGTACATGTTACACCACAGATCCCTAGCGCACGTGAACCGATCGTCTCTACTAGCTAATGGAAAAAGGACATGAACTCGTTGAAAGATACCGTATGCTACAACTTACCAAAATGTATTCCTCATGCATAATGTCGACCAATGATTTTTTGAACTCTTCCCTGAATGTAGTAGTGGGCTGTATTTCCACACGACTGACATCAGGTTCAAGTACACACACAAGCCGGCACGAGCGCGACTCACTCGTGTATTGCAGTTTGGCTGGTGCTAACGTTGCCCGTCCGCATGAACTCTTCCCTGAACTGAAATGTAGTCATGGGCTGTATTTCCACACGACTGACATCAGGTTCAAGTACACACACAAGCCGGCACGAGCGCGACTCACTCGTGTATTGCAGTTTGGCTGGTGCTAACGTTGCCCGTCCGCATACCGCCTCCCATGGCCGGAACTGGTATTACGACACCTGCCGGGCCGGGGCTAGTAATTTAGCATGCTAATTCAGGTCAATATCTCGGCAGCACTATAACTTGTCAGTTTTTTAATGACATCATTTATTTCTTCTCATTCTTTTGATGCGTGTAGCTCATTTTTCGGATATTGTTACCTCAATTATTACATATGGCACCTTTAAAGATGGAAAAGTCATCTGAAGCTTAGTGGTAGTGACGTTAAAGTCATGTGACTGTGATGAATGGGTTAGTTCACCCAAAATAAAAGTTTTTGGACCAAAATGTATTTTCAATGCTTTAAAAAATTCTAACTAACCCACATGGTGTTCAAAATTCTAACTAACCCACTGATGTCACATGGACTACTTTGATTATGTCTTATGTCCTTGACAGTATATCGTACATACATTTTCAATGGAGGGACAGAAAGCTCTCAGACTAAATCTAAAATATTTTAAACTGTTCCAAAGATGAACGGAGGTCTTACAGGCTTGGAACGACATGAGGGTGAATAATTTATGACATAATTTTCATATTTGGGTGAACTAACCCTTGAAGTTTGTTTATAGCATAACTTTAACTTTCTGATAGATTTGTATTTAGGTATGCAAGTTGTTTTCATTTGTGAAGATCATCTCATCCCTGCAGCACTCTAGAAACAGTCTACCTCCTCTGTGCTCTGGACAAGAGCCTGCTGCTCCAGGTATTCTTTGGCCGAAGTTCCTGTCAACAAGATATGATAGAAAATTAACTATAAATACTCCATTAATGAGTTTGTTTTTAGTTCTGATTCTGTTGTGACCGTAATGATCAATATTTTTCCCTACTGTACTCACCATTCCAGTGTCCAGGTAAAGTAGGTTCATTTTTATCATCTGTAGATGCCGACAGGTACTCATGGAGCTTCCCAATCAGCTCACCTAACTTACTTCCTCCACCGGCCACCGGCCTGGGTCTGCAAAGACAAGACACAGCTCATCTCCATGGCAACTGCCTCCCGCTTGAATCTCTCATGAAACATTAAATACACCGAATAGCCCTTTATAAACACCAAAGCACACTACACACAACCACAGAGAGTTTCTAAAAAAAGAACCATATCTAAGGCTTCAGTCTGACAGAAATATGTGAGGTTTACGTTTAATAAGACTTAAATAGTGGAGCACCGACTCTTTGTTCGCCTGGTGCAGATAACGTTAGAGCAAAACTGCAAAGTCAAAACGTAACATTACTTTATGTAAGGGAGATTAAAGAACAGATATTTATTTCAAACAGCGACTGGATTTAATTGATGTATTGCCGATGAATATTAACAAACACAACAGTGTGCACGTTAGCAATGCAACAGAAAATAACGTTAGTCGTGCGCCTTACCTCAAGACTTCAGTAGACATCGCTTCCTCACGCGCAATGGTTCAACATACCGCCGAGCTTTTAGCAGAACCAACAACAGCGATGCGTTTACCAGTTATCAGGATACAACTCATAATTGTCCAAAAGAAAAAACTAACCAAAAGCCAGTTTCACCCGCCATCTTCCCAGTGGAACTTGCGCCATGCAGCCTAGGCTAAAATGGCGCACCGGAAACTATGCTGTGACCGTGACTGACGTCAGGTGATGGCGTAATTACTTCATAGGATTTCGTCATAACCACACGTGGAGACAACTGATGCTGGTCAATGTCAGCTTTATTTTTAAATGAGCTTGAGTTGCAAACAGTATACATTCGGATCACAGTAATAATGCAGAATATACATTTGGTTATTTTTCTGCATACATTAGTGCGAAAAAGCGAATTAAGGCATGAACCCAACATGTTACAAAGAGCCTATACAGTCTATCAATTCACATTTTGACTGCAGCATTTGTCCTGGGTGTGGACTGTTTTCACAGCCATATTAAATATTTCACAAATGAAAACGAGCCTTTATTAATAGTAATAAAAATATTTTTAGCTGCATTTGTGCATTTGTAAATCTATTTATCTTTAATTAATTTATATTTCAGTTGTAGTTTGTCATTTTAGTATAGCTACATCATCTTTGATTTCAATTAGTTCCCAACTTTTCTCATTTTCGTTTGATTCAAAAAATAATAATTACCTAATATTTATATTTTATAGTCTTTACATGGACACATCATTTGGAGAATTGATAGATAGATGAATTTGTATATTTTATTTTATTTCAGCTTTTTTCAATTAACAATAGTTAATAACAACACTGATGATATATCTATATATAAATGTAGATGCAGTCCTGAAGGACTACTTCTATCTCTCACACATTTTCATTTAGGGAAAATTAAATATGGTGTCTTTCTTAAAAAAAAAAAAAAATATATATATATATATATATATCCATTAAAGACAATACTTGAAAAACCAAGTCTAAACGCTGAAGGCTGTTGGAACGTGTTTGAAAAAGCAATTGTCTGTGACTGTAAATTTATGTGCATCTAGAAATATAGGCTAATCCTGCAAGTGACATAGAGGCACAATCTTTATGGTGCAAATGAGCATATCTATGCTGTTGAATTGGCTCGTGGTGTGTTAGCATTACTCTCAAAGTCCATCTCTTGATCTGAAACAAGCCCAAGGCCCGTATGACACAGTTGTCTCTCAAGCGCTGTAATTCGTTGCTTCAGTCTGCTTTGAGTCACTGTAAACTCACCGAGCAACCGTGCGAAACGTGCTTGTAGAACATCCAGTGAGCCCTCCAGATGTTTAACTTTCTCGTCTGTATCCATGACAAGCATGCCTGCCTGTGCGGTGCTTTCATCCAGAAGCCCCTGCTTCCTCAGAATCTCCCTTCCACGCTCCTCCAGAACCTTCTGAGCGTCTGGGTATTCGGTTACGGCCTCCATTAGGTCGTCCTTTGAAAGGCAGAAGAGGTCAGAGTAGCCGATGCTGCGAATGTTAGCTGTCCGACGGTTTCCCATTTTACTACCCTGAATGTTAAGAATGCTAATCTCACCAAAACAGCCTCCAGCTGTTAGCAATGCAAACTGTGTCACCCCATCATCAGCAACAACTGCTAATTTTCCCTCTTTAATGATATACATCTCTTTTCCAATGTCTCCTTTTCGGCAGATGTAGTCACCGGGACTGTACACTTGAGGGCGCAGCTTTAAAACCAGTTCTACCAGCAGTCCGGCCTCACAGTCTTGAAAGATGCGAACTTTCTTCAGAGTAGATAAATGAACGTTGATGGCAATTTCTGCACGTAGCTTGTCAGGAAGATTCTTTAAGACTTCCTGTTCATCCACCGCTTTCTGATTTGTCCACAGGTAGTCAAACCATTTGATAACACGTGTCTCAAGATGGCGACTGACTTTGCGGAAGTGCATGTAATGTTTAATAGCGTCAATCCGTCCCTGGAACTCTGCCCGTGTGGCGTTCATATTGGAAATCATGGAGCCCACATTACCCACAATGGTGGCAAAAATGAGCACTCCGACAAGAAAATCAAACACCACAAACACATATTCCTCGTCCCGTACGGGCGGTGGCATCTCTCCGATGGTGGTCAGGGTCAATGTGGACCAGTAGAAGCAGTATACGTAACTCCGTCTCAGAGATCCTTCCTCTATAGATGAGATGTTGGGATAAACCCATGGATCTGACCCAAAACCAAGAGACTTTGAGATGGCATAGAAGATGCAGGCATTCCAGTGGATAATAACTAGAATGTAGAGCACCAAGTTCCAGATGCGGAAGATGTTTGGGTAGTTGGTTCTCGTCTCAGTACGATTGAAGAACTCAAACATACGAGAGAAGCGCAGGAGGCGGTTGAAGCGGACCTGTGGTGTGTTGATGCCCACGAAGATGTACGCCAGGTCCGTGGGAAGGATGGAGATAAGGTCCAATTTGAACTGAAATGTATGAATGTAGCTGTCTCTGAGTTTCGCTAGGTCCTTCACCAGAAGTCCTTGCTCCAGGTAACCTGGAAGAGCATAAAATGCATTATAGTTCATTCAGTAACACAAAGAATACAAAAATCTGCACGTTTCCAAGATGCTGAAATAAAAAAAGTCTCGATGAAACTGAAGTGGCGAAAGATCATTTGTCCATATTGTATTGTACATCTGAGTGAAAAGGAAAAGAAAAAATGTAGGACAAGAACTTGGTTCTATGCATCAGTTTTTGAATGGATGGAGGCAGATGTGTAAGAAAGGGGCGGGGTTAAAGCAGACAAAATCTGGCATATGTCACCAAAGAAAGTCTGTCGTTTCACCAGAAATTACGAGGTCAAAATAATAATGAAAAAAAAAAAATAAAGAAACATGCATGTATGAAATGTTTACAATAAAATCAATAGCACACAATTAGTAAATAGATGAATTTTCGTTTCATTACGGTTTTAAATTAACATGAAATATGCATGTGTGATTTTCCAGCCTACATGGAACAAACACGGGGTCAACAACAAAAGATATGGGAAGTAAAAGTTTGAAATATGAAACTTAAAGAAGCCGTATGTAAGATTGTGGCCAAAACTGGTACTGCAATCACTTTAAAATTACTGACTCGAGGTTGCCAGATAGGCTGCAGGATCCAACATTTTTTTTATCCGAGACGTTTGTATCTGCAGCTTTGGTAACTAGAGCAGTGCTGGCAAACCGGATGCTGCAACACAACTGACTCTGTGATTGGTAGACGGTGGAGGGTGGAGCATCAGACCAAAACATGACAACATCAACATCAGTTGAGGGCTGCAACTTCACTTTTTAAATGACAATATCCTGGCTGGACTACTGTTGTCAGTGATATAAGTATTTGAAATGAACACGGTTTCTCAATGTGGCATATCAAGGCCATTTTATGATTTTTTGAAATAAATTTCTAACATACAGCTCCTTTAAAAGACATTAATGTAAACTATGCACAATTAGTTATGCAACAAACAAAATGCAGCTAATATGTTTGTGTTCTTGCTGTTCACAAATATAAACCACTCCTGTAGCTATACAGCATGGTGCAGGAAATCCCAAGGTTAGGTTCAATTCCCAGGGAATGCAGGAACTGATTGAATGCAATGTAAGCTGGATTAAAGAGTCCTCCAAATACATAAAAGCAATTCAATACAAGATTTTGTGATGCTAATATAACATGATTTCTATATAGTGTTTCTGTAATGAGTGAAGGCAATGAATTCAATCTTTGGGATAATTGGTGTAAGTCAGGAATTTTGAGTGTATGTGTGTGTGTGTGTGTGTGTGTGTGTGTGTGTGTCTGTACCTGTCCTTAGCCGCATACATGAATCCAGTATGTAGACAAAGTCACAAATATAGTCAAAAACCAGCCAGACAATAGGATTCTCAGTCTGAAGCTGATCAAAACATGCTCTATTCACACAAAGACAGAAAGAGAAAGAACACAAGAACCACAAATATTTAGACAACCTGCAGAAACACACATCTGTACAGTTAGTCAAGCAGTTGTCTCAAAGGACTGTTCTGTTTGTGGAAGAGTGACAGGCGTAACAAAAGAGCATTAGAGCATCTTAACAATTAGTTACACCAGAAACAAACTGACAGCACAGGGAACTGTGTGTTTATCAGGAGCACATTAACAAAAGGTGTAGTGATGAATATGTAAACAAGAAAGACTAGGTGAAAAGTCACACCTGGCTACAAGAAGAACCCAGTTATAGAGCACAGCAGCGGCGATAAAGAAGAGCCAGTAGTAGTAAATATCATCAGATGGAGAAACTATAAATGTCTCCCATTGTTTCCTGTGGAAAAAAAACCCCACACACATATGTAACAAATGTTATCAGATTTATCCTCTCTGTATTTAGAATAGGTTTCATGCCCATATGTAAAAGAAAAATAAATGTCACATTACTTTGTATTTCCCTTAGTATTTCCATTGGCGTCCGGTTGGTTGTTGCTCCTTCGACTGGGTGGGGCTCGAACTTCGGGTCCCCGGAATCTCTCTAGGAAGGAATCGGGTCTCTCTTCTTCCTCAATCAGACTCCTGTGTGCCCAGTCTCTCAGAGTCACCACCAGAGTCACCAACCTGGCAACACAAGAGAGAAAGGATTTATTTATTCACAGACTTGCTGTGGCACATGTGAGAATATGTATGTGCATATTTATATGGTTCCTAAACCTGGACAGAGCTCCTCTTCCTCTAAAGGAGTTTCTTGATGGCGCATCTTGGGGCTCTAGAGCAGCTACTCGCTGCAGCTCAGACGAGGTGTCATCACACGCAGACTGAGACCTGATAGAACAACAAATGGATGAAGACAGAACATGAGAATAACTCAGAATCAAATTATGTTGTTATTCAATTCAATTCAATTCAATTCAATTTTATTTAAGTATAGCACACTTAAAACAACCAAGGTTGACCAAGGTGCTTCACAAGATAAATACACCACAATACAAGACTCACACGATAAATAATAAAGCACTAAAATGTTCTATAAATGAGTAATAATATTTGCATAAAAGGTAAAAACAAAGATTATTATAAAATTGTCAAGAGGGATACCAAACCTAACTCGAATGAAACGCCAAGGAGAATAAATAAGTTTTTAGTGATGATTTAAAACATTCTATAGTTGGACAGGTTCTGATATGGAGAGGCAGTTTGTTCCACAGTGTCGGAGCAGCTACGCTGAAGGCGCGATCACCTCTAGTTTTAAGTCTGCTTCTAGGCACATCTAGGAGGAGGACATTGGCAGACCTAAGCACTCTAGCTGGAGTATGGACATGGAGAAGCTCTTTTAGGTACAAAGGAGCCAAACCATTTAGGCATTTAAAAACTAGGAGTAAGATTTTAAAATTGATCCTGTAATCGACCGGGAGCCAATGAAGTTGACGCAATACTGGTGTAATGTGATCCCTCTTTCTCTTTCCTGTCAGGACGCAGGCAGCGGCATTTTGAACTAGCTGTAGACGCTGGATTGATGACTTATCTAGGCCCACATATAAAGAGTTACAATAATCAAGGCGAGAAGTTATAAGAGCATTTATCACCCTCTCCAAATCCTTAGGAGGGAGATAGGCCTTTACCTTGGCTATTGTTCTCAACTGAAAGAAGCATGATTTAACAGTGGCAGATATCTGCTTATCAAGTTTAAATGCACCATCTAACATAACGCCAAGACTCCTCACATTTGAGCGAATGTTTGCAGCCAGAGGGCCGAGGGAATCTCCATCCAGAAAATCGTGGTGTCCAAACACCATGATCTCTGTTTTATCGGCATTTAGATTGAGGAAATTATGATTCATCCAAGTTTTGATGTCTTTCAAACAATCAAACAGCGGCTGCAGTGTTCTCTTTTTTTTAACATTCAGAGGCAAGTAAATTTGAATGTCATCTGCAAAGCAGTGGAAAGAGACATCATATCTCGCAAAGATAGAGGCCAAAGGTAGCATATACAAAGAAAATAGGATAGGGCCCAATACGGAACCCTGAGGGACGCCACAGGTTAAGTGGAGTCGTTTTAGAAAAATAGTCCCCAAGATGGACCGAAAAGCTCCTATCGGTTAAATACGATTGGAACCACGTTAGCGCCGTACCCTTAATCCCCCCACAATATTCCAGCCGCGACAGGAGAATTGAGTGATCCACCGTATCAAAGGCGGCGGTGAGGTCAAGGAGTACTAAGACAGCAGAGTCCCCTGAGTCGACAGTTAAGATTAAATCATTAAAAACTCTCAAGAGCGCCGTTTCCGTGCTGTGCCAAGATCTAAATCCGGACTGGAATTTTTCATACACATTATTATTAATTAAAAACGTTTGCAGCTGTGCGAGAACTACTTTCTCTAGGACTTTTGATAAAAAAGACAGTTTGGAGATAGGCCTAAAATTGGAGAGAACAGAGGGGTTTAGATTTTCCTTTTTTAGTAAGGGTTGGACAACCGCATGTTTAAAAGCTAACGGAACATAACCAGAAACAAGGCAAGTATTTATCAATGTTAAAATACATGGTCCAATAGTTTCAAAGACTTCTTTAACCAAGCGAGAAGGAATGCTATCTGAAGGACAATTTGTAGGACGCAGATGGGTGACCACCTCAGATAAGGAGAAGATTGATATAGGTTCAAAGTGATCCAATACTGCGGGGCAAATAGGAGGAACAGAAGGATCATAATCATAGGCACTAATTACAGACGATCGAAGGGCAGAGATCTTCTCAACAAAGAAGTTTAGGAACGAGTTGCAAATATCCACTGACGGCGTGATGGGGGCAGCACTATTATTGTTATTGAGGTGTTTTATGTTAAATATGACTTAGGGGGATAGTTTTATGAATTTCTTTCTTCTGCTGAACACAAAATAAGTTATTTTGAAGAATGTCAGTAACCAAACAGTTTCTGATCCCCATTGACTTCCATATAGTGGCCTATATTTTTCATATGGAAGTCAACGGGGACCAGCATCTGTTTGGTTACTGACATTCTTCCAAATAACTTCTTTTGGGTTCAACAAAAGAAAGAAATTCATATAACAACATGAGGTTGAGTAAATGATGACAGAATTTACATTGTTAGGTGAACTATTCCTTTAAGATGTTGTTGTTTTTTTCTATTTTATTTATTTTTATTACTATACCAATCAAAGATTTGGGGTCAGTAAGATTTTATTTTTTACTTTTTGAAAGAAAACAATATTTTTAATACCATCATCAAGGATGCTTTAAATTAATTACAAGTGACCAAATAATGATATTTCAAATAAATGCTTGATCTTTTTATTCTCCAAAGAATCCAGATTTATTTTTTTTAATCATGGTTAGCAAATAAACTGTTTTAATGTTTTCTGAAGGATCATGTGATATTGAAGACTGAAGAAATGGTTGGTGAAAATTTAACTTTGCCATTACAGGAATAAATTACGTTTTGAAATGTACTCAAATAGAAAACAGCTCTTTTAAATTGTAATAATAGTTCAGAGTATTAATGTTTTTACTGTATTTGGTGAACATGCAATACTTCTTTCAAGAACATTTAAAAAAAATCTACTGACCCCTCAAGTTTGGATTTTTGGGTATTTACATTTTCAAACCAGTCTCATCACACTTTTGCAAATTTTTAAGAGTTATGATTATACTTTTGGAATAGTGTGACGATTTAATATCTCAACCTTTTATTTGCAGTGCTGTAGGCTATTTTCAGCCCTGCACAAATCGTTTTAATTTGTTACTGGAATGAGTCAATTCAGAGGCAAATGACAGCTGTTGATAGAATATTGATTAGGGGTAAAAAATTATAACATGAAATGATATTGTTTCATCCTCTTACACTTCGCTTCTGAGGACCACAAGCTAGATCACCAAATTGGTTTTTTACTATAATTGTGAGGACATTTGGTCTGAAAACAGACCACACACAAACACAAAATCACTGACCTGCTAAGCACACTCTCTGCTCGGTCCTGCTCATCCTCTTGAGTTTGCACAGAGAGACGATGAGAGCATGGAGATCCCTCAGCAGCCGACTGGCCCGTCATACTGTACACACAAAAACACACGATCACTTCACTTATGAAAAATAAGTGTCCTATAGTATAATTCTTTTAAACAAAAAAAAATAAGAAAGCATACCTTCAGTCTTCGTTTTATGTACTTCTCAGAAGTATATTTTATGTAGGCCTAACTAAAATATGAGCTATAAGTATTTGACTACACATAGCCTAGGCTATTGCAGTACAAAGAAAAAACAAGTACAAGTAAACTAGTTGTGTACTCAAAAGTTAACTAGGCTACTGTTAAAGTATAGGGCCTATACTTTCGTAAAAAGTGAGTCCCAAGACAAGTATTGGCACAGTACGCTACACACTTTTGCTGATAGTAACTTGAATACTTCTTTGAAAGTGTTGTTGTTCTGCCACCACTTTGTGTTGCATTAGAGACATCTAGTGGTGTAAAGTTGTATCGCATTAGATTTCTTTTTAGTCCCTCTTCTCTTGCCGTTGTTTTCCTGTTAAGTTCTATTTGCCTTTGGTAGGAAGTCTGTAAGTATTCCTGTAGGAAGTATTTACTATAGTCTTTCTTTATTGTCCGTTTTAGGATAATATGTTTGTTGTATTGATAGATGCTAATCGTGATTAGCATGTCTTCATAGACATCCATGTTAATGTTATCTTAAATGCTTATTAGTCAAATCTCATTATATGGCTAATATTTCTTATGTGTGAATAAGTGTAACTTAGTTATCTAAATGAGGACATGTTTTTTAAATCCCAGCTCTCAAAAATATGTTACAAGCATGCTTTCCCATGAGAACGAAATTTCTGAATGTTCTTAGAGCGTTCAAAACGTCAAGTTTTAAAAATGTTTTAAAAACTTTTCTTTTTTTTTTTGTTATGAATATTTTCTATATTTTATCATTTTGCAAGTATTATGGGAAAGTTACTGTGAATGTTCTTTAAACCATCTCCAAAAAGTAAAGTTAAAAAACGAATGTCCAATGAAAATGTAAGAAAAAATGTTAATAATATTAACACCAGATAACTTTGGACAAACAACGTTACTAAAAGGACGTTTGTTCATCTATTATAAGAAAACCTTGCCAGAATGTTAGACAAAGATCTAGAACCTTCCCAGTTAGCATGGGACCATATTATATGCTAACAAAAAACATGCATCTGAAAAAAAAAAATGATAATCAAATATTCATTAAAAATAGGCCTACATTTAGTTTTTTTTTTTTTTAAATTCCTAATTTGAAAATGCCCAAAGTGAGGTTTTGTCAGAATAAGCTGATTTTTATTGACAAAAAATTTAGACATTTTCTGCCGACATTACATTCTATTTTCAGTACATCTTACAAACTTCTCAGGAGTGCATGTCAAAGACATTGTGGATGAAATGCAGGGACAGCAGGTCAGGGGAGTTACCGGCAAACACTTCTCGCCTGGGAATGTGGTCACTATGACAATCACCTCAGATTACCGTAAAATATAGATGCAACAGGGAGAGATTTTAAAAAACATCTCTCACAAAAGATCCAAACTGAAGGATGATCTCATGGTTAATAAGGGTATGGCTTAGGGACTGATGGATGGATGGTTCAACAGACGGATGGATGGATAGTGCCGTTTCTAGATGAATGTTAACAATGTTTTTGGTAATTGGCTCATCATTAAAGAAACACAGAGTGACACAGAGGACAAACACACAGAGCTAATGTCTCATGAGAAATCATGGTTGCTAACAACCATTCCTCTGACACACACACACACACACACACACAAACATTAGATTTTCATGTTTTATGGGGACATCCCATAGACGTAATGATTTTTATACTCTACACACTGTATATTCTATCTCCTACCATCACAGAAAATGCTTGCAATTTTACATTTTCCAAAAACATCACACACGCAATTAATATTATGATGTAACATATTTTAAATATAACAGTGAATGTGTATTTTAGATTATAAATCATTCAAAATAATATTAAAGAAGCCAACAGTTTTACCTCATTGTTATTAAAAATGAACCTGCATGCATGTGTGAGACAAATTCCCTGACTCACCTTCAGCTGCTCCTCTTCAGGATCCCAAAAAAATCCAGAAAGTTGGTCCATATCACATCCTTATACTCAACAAGAAACACACAAAGTGTGTATCCGATCTTCATGCTAGTCTAAAACGTAGTTCTCTTCCTGTGCTTAAATGGAATAATACCATGATCAGTCAACCCATCTGTCTTTCTCATCTATAGAGTAAAAAACACTCCAGCAAAAAAAGGTGGGGTATGAAGGGGCAGGCCAGGAGAGAATGGGAGGAGAAAAAAATAGTTGGTCGCATAAATTAGTGACATTTTCATGAACAGTAGTTGCAAATAAAATTAACATGACATTTTTTCAAGTCATAGACTAATGTTCACTTCTGGTCTAAAGTTTGGCTTCAGTAAAAAACTCCTTTAAGCTATCCAAGGATGCATGTATTCGATCAAAAATACAGTAAAACAGCAGAATTGTGAAATATTATTACAATTTACAAGAACTGTTTTCTGTTTTAATATATAATTTATTCCTGTGATGGCAAAGCTGAACAGTTGTTAATATTTTGGCAAAACTGTGATATATTATATATATATATATATATATATATATATATATATGTATATATATATACATTATATTATAATTATTCTTTATTTATTTTATAAATTTATTTTATATAGAGAATTTTACCCCAATGGATGTATATATAAAGGAAAATGGTAATTTTAAAACATTTTTCAGTGCTATAATCACCTTCTAGCTGTTCACTTTTATGGTCCCGGAATTTTACATATTAAATTATAGAAGTACAAATATTTCTTTAATCAGATTATAAATCATTCAAAATAATATTAAAGAAGCCAACAGTTTTACCTCATTGTTATTAAAAATGAACCTGCATGCATGTGCGAGACAACTTCCCTGTCTCACCTTCAGCTGCTCCTCTTCAAGATCCACAAAAAATGTAGTGTGTTTCTGATCTTTCTGTCTTTCTCATCTATAGAGTATATGATATATATATAATAAAATACTTAGATCGGTCATCTGGACTCCAGGTTTAGTCCAGACTCCAATTGGACACACATAAAATCAGGTAAGACTCCAATGGTAAATTATATGAATATATAAATTGGTTTTGGTTTTTAAGCAGCACATTTCTCTTTGGGCTCATGAGCCAGTGCATCAGTGACAACTGTTCAGCTCCGCTAACTCTCAACCCAACGGACCAATCAAAACCTCTTCTCCTGAGCCCAATGGACCAATCAAAATCCAATCCTGTTGTAACTCATCTAGGGCGATCACAGTCTTCTAACAAGTTATATGTACGTATTCTCTGTAGAAAAAAAAAGGATTTTTCCAATATACAAATAAATGTGAATTAAATTATTTACATTCAAAAACAGAAATTTGGAAAATATTTATTTATATACACACAATTATATATATATATACATATACATATATATATATATATAGCTACACACACACACACACACACAGACACTCATCTGAGCCAGCTGATTGAGATGTACATCGCCAAAGGAAGTTTTTTTACATTCGGATAAACCAAAACAGAAAAAATCAGTTTCTGTAAAGACTCAGGGCTGATAAACTGTGAATATTACTGCCTTGGACAAAATGAAAAGATTTTATTCAAATCATCATTTGATCACATGCATTTTAAGGTACAATTCCCACAATCCATTAAAGCAGAGGCAAAAACATGTGCAGCAAGAAAAAAAAAAAAACATGTCACAATTTTTACCCAACAGCTGTTTGATATAATGCTGGTATAGGTTTATGTAGCTACATTGGCATAAAATGTATATGAGAGACAAGCAAGTATTTAAAACACAAACTTAAATAAAATGAGGAATATTACAAAGAAATGTTGCAAGCAATATTATAATCTTTATACCAATTATTATGGACTGAGGGAGAGCAGGACCCCAGAACAATCCTGATGACAGCAGCGTTACCAAATAACATCTAATTTTGTCCGATTCAGTTTCCAGCATGTCGTTACAGTTTGGTTTCAGTGTGTTCTAGTGGATAAGGAAAGCTGCACACCCTCAAAAATCTGCAAACACCCCTCAATGTATAAAACTGAACTAAACACAATTAAACAATGAGGCTAATGTATCCAGGGTTCAGTAAACAGGGGATATGTTTCACACACACTGGCACATACGTACATAATCTCTCTCTCGCTCTCACACTCACACACACACTGGTTCTTCCTTAAACCTGGTCTCTGAGTTTGGCCAGTCTCTGAGAGAGCTCGTCCTATGGTGAGAAAGATACAATTATTGTAGTACATATCAGTTATACTTTTGTTAGTATGTTTATACTAATGTATGTGTTAAATACCTGTTCTGCAGATGCTACACTGGTTCCCACTGATCCTGACTGACCTTGAGGAAGCTCCATATTGAGGTCCAGCCTAAACACACAAGAGACAGATATTGTTTGTTTAAATCTTAAAATTGTTCCGTTCAGTCTCCCTCTTCACCGTAAATACGTTAAGGATACATTTTAATCATTCTGTATCCAATCATTTGGCCGGATCCTGTGATTTCCTCAGATTTAAAAAACACTAATTTTGGTTGAGGAGAGATTCTCTGATATGATTGTAAAGCGATTAATTGATTGATTAATTCATTGATTCATTCATTGATTGATTGATTCATTGATTGATTGATTGATTCATTCATTCATAAAGCTGGATATCTCCATCCAGTCTGAAAAGTGTTTTCCGGGTTGATTTTCCTATAGGCTAAAGTCTATTCTGGCTTAGTATATTTTATGACATTCTATAATGGTAGCCTAATGCTGGTAGATTGGCACCTATTGAATTTCCTTTTGTACAAGCAAGACACACACACACACACACAGAGTGTGAAACACTCGCTATGCACCATTATGCACCCTGTGTGCGCGGCAATGTGAAACAACTGGAAGCACACTCGCAACTTCTACGGAAGACTGTATTCTCGTACTCTAGGAATGTTTCGACTTTAATCTCGAAATGCTAGATTATTATTTTTTTTTACTTTGCGCTTCAGGGCTTCCGTATTATTGAGCTTAAACGGTACAATACACACAGAATAATGACAAAATGCTGGTCTTGTCGAGTATTCATAAACAACTCACGTTTTAAGTAAATGTAGTTGAGAAAGAAAACACGTGTAATAGTATGATGGATCCGTGCATCAGGTCTTAAAGTGACAACAGCCTAATAAACCTGCTGCCAAATTATGAGATATTATTAAAAATTAGGGCTGTCAAACGATTAATCGCATCCAAAATAAAAGTTTGTGTTTACATAATATATGTGGGTGCACTGTGTATAATTATTTTGTATATATAGAAATACACACGCATGCATGTATATTAAGGAAAAAAATATTATTTATATATAAAATATTTATATATAATATAAATTACATATAAATCTATATACAGTATATACATAAAAATATTTTTTAAATATATACAAGCATGTGTGTGTATTTATATAAAATAATTATACACAGTGAACCCACATATGTTATGTAAACACAAACTTTTATTTTGGATGCGATTAATCGTTTGACAGCCCTATTAAAAATTTGTATATGGCTATTGTTCCTTATGCTATTCGATGTCAAAATTGTGGCCATTGTGTAAACGCTGAGTGGATAGTAACTTTGGAAAACCACTAGCCACAGTGGCTGGTAAGCTAAAAAGTTGATTTCAAGCCCTGAGAGGAAAGATGCTACAAATTCAGCTTTGCCATTACAGGAATAAATAACATTTTACAATATATTCAAATAGAAAACAGTTTTTATAAACTGTAACAATATGTATATTTCACAACATTAATGTATTTTAATCAAATAAATGCAACCTTGGTGAGCATAAGATACTTTCTTTTATACAATCCCCAATCAATCACAAAGTGTGTTTAAGTATTTACTCATTAATAAGAATAACAAATCTCAGCATTTAAAATGTTCTTACCCGGCCTCATCCGCCATTTCCATCATCAGAGAATCGACTTGACCCTAAAACACACCACAGTGTCAGTAAAGGCAAAACAACTACTACGTCAGTGTATTTATGGCCTACGGTGCAGTCATTGTAGTATGCCAGTGCATGTATGACCTGTGGTGTGGTCAGTGTTGTGGTGCTGCTCATAGTGTCCTCCATTTGAGCCGTCTGTACATCCAGAGTTTCAAACTGACGCTCAAACTTATCCATCAGACCTGAAATCTGACGAATCAGAACGCAGAGAATAAATATAGAGCCAATATAATAAAGTCAAATCAAAGCACTACAACTGTTTATGTCAAATAGAAGTCTTCCTCTCTCTCCCTCTCACCTTTTCAAGGTTCATGCTCTTCAGGGTTGCATCCATGCCCTTCACCACCCCAGCCATAGACTTGGTGACCTGGAGAATAAAAATCAAATGTTAACTATTAAATCTAGTTGAATAACTACTTGAATTTATCTGGTTTAAAAGGAGAATGCCATATGTGTACCTTGTTCATGGTGACAGCCGTCTGTACTCGTGCAGCCACTGCATCCACTCTCGCGCTCATTCTAAGGAAGTTCACTGATTGGTTTTTCTGGCGGATAGCGTTTTCTGCATGTATCCGTGCAACCTCCATATTGCCCTTCTGGATGGCCTAAAGTAACCAAAACATAAGCCGTGATTGGTAACACTTTACTTGAAGGGGTGTGCATAAGACCAACATGACACCTTCATAATCATGACATGACATATGTTATAATTATGAAGGAAGTTTTATGCATGTTTGTGACAAATGTCATTAAGTGTCATTCGCTCAGTAATGACATTTTTAATGCAAATATGACATTGTTTGAGATGTCTTTGTTATGACACCTTGACATAAACCAATACATTATAACCTGTCAGTGTCTTTGTCATGACAATTTGACATTACTAAGACAACACAACCCGTCTCACAACTTTTTAATGACAAATTCAATTAGTACCACTGTAGTTGAGGTCATAAAACACATGACACATGACAGTTTAACTTAATTTAATGTCAAGTTGTCATGACAAAGGCACTTGACAGGTTATGATGTTTATGGTTTATGTCAATATGTCATAACAAAGACATGTTAAACAATGTCATATTTGCATTCAAAATGTCATTATTGAGCGAAAGACACTAAATGACAGTTGTCGTAAACATGCATAAACCTTACTTCATATTCAAGACATATGTCCTGTCATGGTTATGAAGGTGTCATGTTAGTCTTATGCTTATCTTATCTTCATCACATCAATGTTGACCAATTACATGTGCTGTAATTATGGAACATTTACTTTTAAAATACTAAAGTACAATCTAATGTGGTGTTGACTCAACATTCTCATTTATGTTTTTGGCTATACTTTGACATTTAGATTTGTATAATTTTTGACAATGTATACAAATGTATGTATGTATGTGTGTGTGTGTGTGTGTGTGTGTGTGTGTATATATACTTAAATCCATTTTCTTAAATATATCCAGACAGAGAAACATAATACTCATAAAGTAGTAGAAATCTTCGTCAATGTTACTTAATATGAATGAATGGAGTCTCCAAATGCCAATGTTGTTTACCTTCTTGACCTTGGCCTTCTCTGCTTTCTCTTCTTTGTCGCATTTCTTGGAGCTCCGCTGAAGTTCTTTAGCTGCAAACTTGAGGTTAAACAACTGCTCTGAAGTCAAAAGTCAAGGAAAAGGTTTTAAAAGGAATCACCATGTCTGTAAAGATTATCTGATACAGTTAATAATGTGCCCAAGACAAGCCTAAACAATATAAACAACAATCAATGTAGACCAAAATCGTCTCGAAACTTGACAAACTAGTTTGACCACCTGGATAGCGTTTACCTAGGTGGCGACATTACGTAATTCTACGTCAGTCATACCTGGGCGGATTTGACGATGTTTTAGACGAACACGAAACTTTCAAAATAAACACTTGGAACTTTATAAACGTACAAAAATATAAATAGCACGCAACGGCGAGTTCACCAACTCATGTAACGTATCACTTTAAAACGTTTTCTACTCCAGAACCCAAAATTCACTCTCTAATTCAATTTCTACCTTCAGTGACGCGAACAGAAATCTCAACGTGCGATTAGATTTAACGGCTAGCTAGAATGTGACCCGATCTATTCGTACACAACAAGTCAACTCATAAATTACGCTAAGTAGAAGTGTTTACGGTCCAAGACAGTGAAGTGAATCTGGATCGGGCCCGACCCCCGCGGTCCACAAGGATACTCTCCATGTTTGACATCCTGGTTCCACTTGATGAAGTGTGAAAATTAGACGAGAATAGTTTTCAGTCTTGTTTTATTCCCCCCGAGCTCTTCGTGTGGATCAGTAACTGTCCTCGATATGTTTGTTGTAACGTAATTTCCCTGTATTCACTTCCGGCTTCTCCAAACCACTGGAGTGATGTCACAGTCATGCGCTCAGGTCAGCGATCACGGTGATGTCACGACTGGCAAAACAAAGCTGTGTCTCTGCAAACATCATAACAAAACCTTTTGTTTAAAATAATTGGTTACACTTCATTCAACTTCATATATAAAGACAAGCCTCACTATTTAAATAGAAATATTTGATGTAATTATAATATATAATATAATATTATTTAATATATAATTGGACTTATAATAACAAATACTGTATTAATGAAGTTAATGAAATATACTTTCAAATGATACGCATCATTTATCCAACCATAAAAATATAGGCCGACAACTGATCTTTATGTTTGTACTGTATGTTAGATTCTTTTGGATTAATGTGGATTATTTATTTAATAAGTTCAGTGGAATTAAAATAAAAATTTATTTTAATTTTGTCATTTATAATGACCAAAAAAAAGATATACAAGAATCACATTTTTTATGTTAAATAAACAAATGTAAATGTTCTGAATGGATACCCAATATCACCTAAGGCTGACATTTATTTTGAAACCTTTCAAGGACTTTCAAGCCATAAAGAAATCAGAATTATTCTTTTTTATTTTATTTTGATTATACACATATATACCCTTTTCTGTTATCTTTTTTTTATTTCCTCTCCTTTAACCTCCTCTTTAATATATGAATATATGTTTTGTTTTGAATATTATCCTTAACGTTCATCATAGATCAGACAGTAAAGACTAATCACAGTTTTACACCTTTATTATAAAAAAAAGCATAGAAAACAAATAAACAGACATATGCTTATGACATCAAACATCATGACCATCTTCACCATCAGTGTCACTAAACAGATCCAGGCTTTGTCACCCAATGACAACAGATCCCTGACACACACACATTTACAAAAAAAAAAAAAAAAAAAAAAAAAAAAAAAATACACACAACCCAGGCCATGATAGATGGAAAGGAAAGGAACAGACAAAATAAACTCAGACTGCTCAGCTCTTGACCAGAGATAGCCTGTGGAGGTTAATGCTGTATCCTGATTGGCTGAGAAAAGTCTTTCAAACAGCAGATAAGGGACTGGATGGAGAGAGTGTTTTCCATTTCAGTGCATTAAGGGACAGGAAAAACTAAAGTGAGAAAAGAGAGATAAAAATAACAAGGTAAGAAAAGGGCAAAACAAAGAGAGAGAGAGATATGTACCAGTGTGTTAATCACATTTTTGTAAACACCCTTTTAACACCACAAACCAAACTCAGATTCAACTCATGATCTCTTCAATTTAGGCTTTGTATTCACCATCCTGAAAATACACCAATGAAAAACACATCAGCATGGATTAAATGAGCACTTGATAATCAGACGACTGTTCTTGTTGCCTCCCTTGTCCAAAACACAACAGTCTTTTCAGTTATCCATGATAATGGTACAGAAGAAAAAAAGATGAAAAAAATAACCATTCTGATGCTCCTCAGATAGCCTGAGGGCACAGTCTTCAATTTACATTATATTTGAACCAGAGTCCAGGATTCAGACATCACCAACCAATCAGCTGCCACATATACTTGACATAAAATGTGCAAACATCATCAATACTAATCTTCTCCTTACTGCAAGATAAAAATGAATTAAAGTGTATCATACAAGAGTGGAAAAATATAAATATATTCTGTAAAAACAGTCTGAAGTGTATTTGAGTGCATTTTCTCCTACATTTCACATAATCCTCCTCGTGTCTGTACTTTAATGGACGAGGAGTAGCACAAGTGATCTGGAAGTAGTTAATGCATCAGTTTGCACCTGCACTAAATCATATGACTAAAATGTATTATATTATTGAACAGAGGTAAATGCATTACCTGATTTAATAGTAAAGTCAAGTCAGCTGAATTATATGGTAAACGTAAGTGTTCTCGACCCCATGTAAAAAAGTATGAAAAGAACGCAAGATGGAGAAAGTGAAGAGAGCAGCACCATCTTTATGACTGGAAAATGGAAACCTAAAGAACCATGATGGGAATCAAAGTCATTCAGGAGGGAGGGAAGAAGAAAAGAAGGAAGAAAGGAAGGACCACTCTGGACTAGAATAAGGCAGAGGTGGCGGATTAGTTGATGGCAAGTTAGTTTCCGTGAAAACCAGAGAAGAAAAAGCACCACAATCCAGGAAGAGTCATGAACATCAAGTCTCGGAGACAACAATAGTAAAAAAAAAAAAAAAAAACAAGTCACAAAAAGACAGTACTAAAAACAAAATCCCTGCAGTATCGCTGTAGTGAGTCTGTGTGAGGATCATAAAATGTCAATGTGTCCAACCCATAAGATGGCTAACCCTCGCACGTTCAGTCATGCGACGGACCCTTCCAGAACGGGACATTCCAAGATTCAGAGGGTCTGTCGTCAGCCCCTCCTCTTCAGAGTCATCGTTGTATAGAACAGTCCTTCGTCCCTGGTTACGAGTATTAACCCGCCCTGACTTTGCAGTCCTTTGATTTGACCTCTGACTTCCAGTTTTTGTTGAAGAAATGAGGTCTTCATCCTCAGAGTCCTCCTCTTCCTCATCCAGCTCCTCTTCTTCCTCCTCAGGTTCCTCCTCTTCATCTGGTTCTTCCTCTTCCTCAGGCTCCTCCTCTTCATTTTCATCCGCCCGCCGCGCTCGTTTCTCAGGTTCTGTTGTCTGCTCTTCTCCTTTGCGCTTCCGCTTTGCGTTATCGACAGAGGCTGCTGCCTCTTTGCCTTTCTGTTTTTGTTGCGGGGCTTTGCTGTAGTCATGGTCGCCGCCATCTGCAAAGCCGCCCACCTCAGTCCCGCTGTCGTCGCTCTCAGACGAAGACGACGAGGTTTTGGAGGACGACGATGCGGATGTTGAGGAGGATGACGAGCTGGTGCTCTCACATTCAGAGACTTCTCCCTCTTCTGCTAATGCTGCTCCTCTCCTACGTGAACTTCGACCTTCATTTGGCAGGCAGTCATTGGCACCTAGGACACGATATCAGTCAACATGAAGGTAAAAAATTATTTGCAATACACATTATACACTCTTATGCTCACCACTGCATTTATTTGATCAAAAATGCAGTAAACACATTAATATTTTGTTTTCCATTCTAATTTTAAAATGTAAATCTATTTATTATGAAAAGCTGAATTTTAAGCATCATTACCATTCTCAGTGTCACATGACCCTTCAGAAATCATACTAATATGCTGATTCGCTGAAACCGATGCATTTTTTCAGGATTTTTTAATGTTTGAGAAAACAGCACATTTATAAATTGAAATTTGTGTAACATGAGAAAAGTCTTTTGATCAACATAATACATTGTTGCTGAATAAAATTATTTAATAATAAAAACATTTTGAGAGAGTGGAAGAGCATGTTTGTTTGTGTACCTCGGCTGCGTGTAACTCGGTCGGCTCCTGCAGGCTCTGATGAAAAGGACGAGGAAGATGAGGAGGAGGATGATGAAGATGAAGAGGATGGCTGACTGTCTTCATCAGCTTGTGCAACACTTGAATCTGGTGAAAGAAGCAAACACTTTGACTCTCCCATGAAAAAAACCAGCTGTGACTTAAGGTGGTGTCTCATTAGCCGACTACTACTAAACCTACAGACAGTTATTAGGGGTTCAAGCATGAAGTGATGATCACTAACATTTCAATTCTACCATTATTGTTGATATGAGACAACCCCAATTTCGAAAGTAAGGGTTCAAAGAAAACCCAAGTTCACAGTGGTAATTACAACCTCTCTAAGACTCTTACACACCTTGAGAGGATTTCCTTGAGCGGGACTTTGGAGTCATCTGGGAGGTTTTCTTTACAGATTTCTGTTTTCCTTTGGGGCTGCCGAAACACACAAAAGTTTAAAACGGGTCAAAAAAAAACAAAAAAACTGTGTGTACCATGATTTGATATTGAGTGTACATGTTTTACCTGTTGGGATAGGAACTCTGCAATCTCTTGCTGCAACTGAGTCTCTGTTGACTCCTACGCTGATTCTGAACAGCAGATTTGTAGTCTGAGATTATGGGAATAATTTGATTCTCAAAGAACGCCGACAGACTCAGAGTCATACTGTAGATCTAAACAAAAAGCAATATCAGAGTCATACTGTGGATAAACATAAAACATACTTTATACATTAATGCAATATGTAAAGATTAATGCCGATGAGGTGTCCATTATCTAGGTATTAATGGACGACGGCGAGGCGTGAATCGTCCGACACGCAGTGGTTGTCTCCGCCGAAGTCCATTAATACCTAGACAATGGACACTTCGAAGGGCATTTACCCGCTTATACCATGGTCACTTGCCAAATAACACATTTTTAAAACAGTTTATATTTTAATTAGTTTTACAATCGATAACTTGGTTTCCCTGGTTATCCTAGATTTAACCGTTTTGCTCCTATAGTGTTGGGTGTGCCATGATGTGTCAAAGACCCCACACACGAAAAGATTTTTAACCAGAGTTTAGACTGTGAACACAGGAAATCTCGCAAAATCTCACGAGACTTCAGAATAATAATGTAGGTCAACCCAGTACAAAATCACTCACACACAATATACTGTGGCTATTTGGTCAGCTACCTGGCAAAGACATTACACAAGAGATTCTGATATGCTGATTTGCTGCTCAAGTAACATTTCATATTATTATCAATGTTGGAAACAATACTACTTGATATTTTTGTGTTTTTTCCCCCCAGAATTATTTAATGAACAAAGTTAATTTGATTTTTGTTTATTTTTTAAAAACAATAGGCTCCGACCAAACATTTGATTGGTAGTGTACATGTAGTAAGAAAATAAATACATCTCATTAATTAATTCATTGTCGGTTTATAAAACTAATAATTCTCAGGCACTGATTCTGATTGGTTGAGCCGCATTTGAAGCCATTGTAAAATACAACACGTATTGCTCTATTATAAAAGTGATGAGTGTGATTGAAGGGTGCTGGTCTTACTCTAGACTTCTTGTTAGGCGTGTAGGCTTTTGAATTACTGAAGATAAGCCGCACATCTTTGGCAAACTCTATGGGATTCTCGTAGTTCCCACCCATTAGGGTCTCAGAGACTGTGCCCAAATCCATAGGAGTGTCTATAATATCACGGTAATCCTGATACAGAGAGAAAAAAAAAGAACACAATGGAATATTGTTAAAGGGATAAGATGGAAAGTACAGGAAGGAAAGGAATGAAAGAATGAGGGAAGAATGAGCTACCGGGTAAATGAAGAGGTCAACAGGCTGGCGGAATGGCTCTGAATCTGGGCTTGCCATCATTCTCCTCACAAGGTCTTTGCATTGTCTGTTCCATGCGTTTATATCAAGGACCACGCCACGCTTCTGAGGCACATTACTGGACCTCTGTAAATAGTGGAGGGGGGGGGGTTAAAGAAAACACAGCTGGTACTATAACGTTTTCATAATAAGTAGATTACAAAGCTTAATTTAACATGCATGTGCTTGAATTGTCTCACCCTTTGACCAGTGGAGGTGCCGGGAGTGTCCGAGTCCACATCCACAGTCTCCTGGAGAACAAACAAAGACGATGAAGAGTTCATCTTCACACTAAAATATATACAAAGCTTAGGCACATTGGTCCTGGGTCAAAAGACATACTTATTGTTAAACTCTGTACACACATAATTCACACACACAGACCCAAGCTCACCTCTTCCTCATCTGCACTGCTGAATTCAGTCTTCATCTTATTGTGCAAATCCAAAATATCTGTACAACTTTGATCCCTACAGACACATGTACAATAAAAATGAAAAAGCTCAGCATGGTCACTGATCCCAGCAGGTGAACCAAGGGGATCGTAATGTAAAAATGTGTGTGATCGTGTCTTCTCTGACCTGATAAAACGCAGCAGAACGTCGGTGACCGTTTTCGCTGCTGTGACAATGGGGCTCTGTGGTTCGTTAAATGTTCGAGCATTGTGTTCGATGTAACGCACTTCCCACATAAGTGCTGAGATTCGCCTACACATACAAAAAGAGGTGTGAGAACTCCAGCAGTTGTCTGTGTGTACCTGGAGGAACGGGGCACTCATTTATGTCAGATGATGCAGTGGTCAGTGAGCTGAGTATACCTGTAGAAACGATGCACCAATCTTGTTCTGATGGTGCTGAGGTCGGTGAGATAGGCCACAACAGTGCAGTACAGCGGATATTCCCTCAAATCGACAGGGCAGGAGAACGCCTTTGCCACATCTGTAAAACACACAAGAATATAATTAAGCAAGGAACATGCTATATTATGAATAGATATTTTAAATTGCAACAATTTTTCACAAAATGACTGTTTTACTGTATTTTTGCTCAAAGTTTTTAAATGAATACTGATAGTAGCTTTGGGTGGTTTGTGTGCACTTGTGATACCAAGGGTTAGCAGCTGATCTATGGCCGCGATTACTCTCTCGCACTCCTCATCTCGTGTGTGCAGCCCCCACTCTCCCTCCTGTGGCCGGTACAGTAGGGACTGAAGCTCGTCCTCTGTGACAGGGACACTGTCACCAGTATCCTCTGGGACTTGAGCTGTGGAAAGTCAATCACACCATTAGACATGCCAGAATGTATTGCTGATTTACTGTCCGAGCTGATGGGTGAAGTAAAGTGTGTCAGTACCTTCTTCAGGTATGGGCTCAATATCCCACGGACTCATCTTCTCTCTCTCTCCATTATCCCACCTGCAAAATAACACACCGATTATTGACACTTACCGCACAATAATCAGCAAAATGTTTAACTTCATACTCTGGTAAAGCGGGTATCAAACCCATGTACCTGACAATGTAGCACTGAAACAGGCTGTCTGGATATTCAGACTGGAACGGCTCCTGACACTCCACAGAACCAAACCACCAGGCATCATCAATGATGCTCCTGAAACGGTGACCTGCACACACAAATATATAGCTGTTATCATCATAACATTACATATAAGAAACATACACACATTTGTCTATACCACAACAGGATTAATAGAATAATAACCTATGCTATGCAGTCACTAAGGCATTCTTCACATTTTATAGCATGTTGGTAAATAGTTAATAGGATGTTCTGGGTGGTCGTTTACTGGCTCAAATGAAAAAAGCCCACCCACAAGCCTCTATGATATTCTTGTATGGCTCGTAGGGGTTTAACAATATATCGTGTCACAATACATCACCTTACGAAAATGCAACAATACTTATCGTGGATAATTACCCCAAAATAAAAATTACTGTGTGAGAAAAAAATCAAGTTTTCAGAATTTTAGTGTCAATACTACATTAAACTACTATATATAATGTTGATTATAATGTAGAATAATGCAATGGGGGAATATTTGTGCGTCCTGATAATGCCAGATGTCTTATGTTACCTGACATTTATTTGAAATACATCTAGTCAGTAACAGAGTGCAGGAATATTCGTTTAAAATTATTCTGTATTTTCAGCTTCAGAATCATGAATATTGTTATTCTAGTGTCATCATTATCCTTGGGTTACAAGCACCTATTTATTTAAACCCACAATGTAATATCAAATTTAGCATTTTAATCAACAATACATTTTTTGTTAATCCTTTATGTTTTGGAGTATCGCAATAATATCTTATCGTGAGTTCAGTATCGTAATATGTATCGAATCGTGACATGAGGGTATTGTTACACCCCTTGGCTCGGGTTAAAGGTCTGCAATCTGCATAGTCGGGATAAAGAAATGGATTGTGGGCTGCTGCAAAACATAATTATCTATCCTATTACTAACAGCACGCATAAGTCTGTCACTGGCGATGTGAAGAATAGTGTGTGGAAATTGGAAAAAAAGTAAAGTGCAAATTGTAAGCTCAATCACGAAAAGTAATAGCGCACCTCTCAACAAACCAAATGATTTGAGGCATCATTGATAACCTCAGTGCAAACAAACTGAAGTTCAATACTTTGGGTAGAGGTTAGTTCATTTCCTAATCCTAAGCTTGAGCACTAGCTTCAGACTCTAGCATGCACCACAATTTAAAAACACAAACACACCAGGTTGCCAGTTTCGTGCTTTGGCCTCATTATAAATCTGTTGTAGCACCAGAAAGTCGATGACATCAGGCATATCATGATACCTAAAAAGAGAGATTGAGACAGCCATCATTTACAATCTCATTTTCATGAAGAATCCTATCCTAACATCCATATTACATTTATTGATCAGTTTTTATTGTAATTATTATGCTATTCCAATACCAATAATGTTACAATCCCAGTAAACCAGCAAGTGTATTGTCAAAAATAATTCATGAATTAATAAAAATCAAACAAAATGTGTTGGTGTGTGTTTTTGGAAATATAAGCATGCATACTTCAAGCTGAAGGATTCGTTGGTCATTTTCCCTGAGGTGGGGTCCAGGAAGGCCAGTTTGAGACAGCACAGAGTTGGCGGCCCGACTTCATATTTAATACCCACTACTTTGACAGATTCCTGATCCTAAGAGAACAAACAAACAACATGCATGTTCCCGTTGGTCTGTCTGGAGAATGGGTCAACCACATGTGATGCAGACCAGATTATGCCTAATAACAAGTGAGAATGATCATGAGACAGGAAAAACTTCTTACCCTGAGATCCAAGCGATTCCAGGGCTGTTTCTGAGGATTCACGCTGTAGGTTTTGGCACGACACACGGCTCGGACATATGCTTGATGACCCTGGCGGAAATATATCAACTACAGAGAGACAGAGAGAGAAATGACTGCAGAAAGATGCATCCATAATGCAAATCCTTGTACTTATTTCTGCTCATTTAGTGAGCATGTCTATATTTAAAGGAACTCACCTCATCTCCCATTTGAGGTACGAAAGGTGATCGTCTTGGAATTGTTTCCATGATCCAAGAGGGCGGCAACCATTCCTCTAATTCTCCAGCAGGCACAGACTAAACACACACACACACATTATTGTAATAGAAAAAATATGGATGAATGAATGATGAAAGGATGAATGAACGAATGGATGCTCACCCGCGGTTTAGTCTGTTTCAGTTTTTTTTTCTTTTCAGTCCGTCGACTCTTTCTCTCAGCCTCCCCTTCTCCCTGCCCTGTCCCATCCTCATCTTCAGAGCTACTGCTCCCGGCAACAGGGGCCTGTCTTCTGGTTGTTCGTTTGGGGGGCTGGAGGTTGATTCCCGCATCTGCCGTCCAATCAGAATACTCACTGGAAGAGTCACTGTAAAACAGATTTAAACAGGAAAGAGCTTAATAGACAAAATCAAAAGATGTAAACCATGATCAAACAGCTAATTGTCAGACTGTTTAATTCCATATGCAGTTAAAAACTATTAAATAACTGTTAAAAAATTAAACCTAAGCCAGTTCTAGACCAACATCACAAGGCTTAATTTGTATTATTTATATTGTGAAATATGTGTGACTAATTGGAGACTGAACCTGGAGCTACTGTCATTCTCCCACTGAGCTTCACCATCCGATGACCCATCACTGTTCTCATTCTGGTCCTCTTCCTGCTAGGTTCACACATACAGAAATGTTGCATATTTAATAAAGTATTAAAAAAAAAAAGTAAACAATAAATCTTGATAATAAAAGCCAATTAAAGATGAGCGGAGTTCAAGGACAAACACCAACTGCTGTCTTACCTCTGCTTCACTGTCAGACTCTCTCTCACTTTCCTCGTTACGGGTGTACGAGAGCACGCTTGAGCTGCGTCTCCTATCTCGAGTCGAGCGGGTCTGATATGTGTGTCTCCTCTGCTGAGCCTTGCGCTGTGGCCTTCGTAACATGCGAACGTTGTTACCCACAGGTTCACTCTACAGATAGATGGGGAGAAAGTAAGATTTTTACGCTAGACTGGCACAGTAAAAAGTGACTATATTTGTTTGTTTGTATTGCCATACCAGCATCTATGGCTAATTTCAAAGCGAGATCAATGCATTTAAAAAAAGAAACAACAGTAATAATGAACAACATCAGACATCTTTGTTTGTGTGTATATGTGTATTAAACTCACTCCTATTGTGGGTGCATATTTTTTCTTCTTCTCAATGTTGTAGAAAAGCCGTTCCACCTCTCCTTTAGCAATCCTATTGTCTTCCATCACTCTAAACAAACACAAACATCACATCAGGGTTTGAGCTCACAAAGCTGTTCACAAGAAACCAACATGGACAGTTTAGTGTCCATGTGTGATTTCTGGACCTGGAAAAGTCATGTATATTATTCAAATCTTATAACTCCACAAACATGTTTCAAATCAATTGTATTGTGTAGAATCAGTTTTTTTTTATCTTTATATTCTACGTACTGTATACATACAATTTAGCACTAACAGTTGTGAATAGTGTGGTCAAACTGAATTCACATTTTAGGTTCGCAAACTGTTTAATTGTCATATATACCTGAAAATGCCAGACTGGACTTCATTAACCACTACGCGCCGGCTCCATGCCAACAGGTCTCTCTCGGTGGCCATCTGACTGCGGGGGGCATTGTTGTGCATCTGCCGTACACCCTCAACTTGTCCGCTACGTCGCAGCCCAACGTTAGGGGGTGATAGAGGACCACCAGCCACTTCAGCACCTACTGACCCAACAACTTTAAATGTCACAACCTCTAAACTAACAGCTGAAACGGTTTTAAAATAAATAATACATTTTAATCTAAAAAAGGTTCCAAATCAGATTGGCTTGTTTTCACCTGCAGGATTTCCTGGGTTGCGATGCTCATCTTGCTGGTTCTGGAGCTGCCTAATCAGATCATCCAATGGGCTTTCTTCCTGAGAATCCTCAGCGGTCTGCTGGCCAATCACCTGCTCAACCACTTCACCATCACCTACAAACATTAAAAGACTCTCAACAAGCTAATTTAGACTAAGCACTAAACTAGTCCTCAAATAAAGGACTACAACATGACATATCATTAAGAACAGGGAGTATTTCATTTAAAATTAACCCTAATGAGGCCCTCATCTTCATAGCTTTTCATAGGAAATAAATTTGAGCCAAAGGCCCTGTTTACACTTGGTATTAAGTCTTTATAATTAAGTTGTAAGTTAAACGTACAAGTTATCGCCAATCTGATCACAAGTGGATGACGCTAAAAACAAGTGTAAAATGCATTTGAACAGCCACAAAAAGACTAATGCTTAAACATTATGCGAAGCACAATAGTCAGATGGGATTTAAACTTTATCAGCTGAAGATATAAAGTTTCTAACACACACTCAGAATATGTGTGGTCTTGCGGCTGTCAGAGCAGAAACGAAAGCGGCTACTCTCTGTATGTTTTCCATCGTTTCGTGTTCATATGTAAATTGTGTGAACTCATTTTGTCCATTAAACCGAAAGTTAATGAAACCCATACATTTACCCGCCCACAGACCCTCCCCTCAATACAGAAGTGGCTGAGAGTGGACAAAAGAGGCTAATTTAAAACACAGAGGGTAAAACGGGTCTCCCTCGTCTACTTGTGATCCGACTGAACAAAACGCATCCTAATACCATGTGTAAACATGGCCACACAAGTGGTGTGTGACTGATTAAAAGGACCAAATAATCAGCAATATTGTTGCTACAGCTATGTCTAGTAAAAAGAAAAGCCCACAGTATTTTGTGACAAATAGTACATGCCGTCATTTTTATTTAATTAAACAAAATGTATTTGGATTTTTTTCATATATATGCGTTTTTGCTGTAGCATTGGTATTTGTATCAAGAATCATGACATGTCAATGATATAGGCAACTGAAATTGTGAAATTTCCATGGAGGAAAGCAGGATGTTTTAAAAATTTCTACTTGAGAAATTATGTATTAACTTAGCTATAATTAGTTGTGCAAATCTATGAGTAATATAATTTAAGACAATTAAAGACAATAAAAGACAATTAAAACATTAATAATGATTATTACTATGGCTATACAATTTGCATTAATCGTGAAGTGATGCTTTGTGTCATTTGTTATTAGCCACGTAAACCTGATAAATGTACCATTAGCCATGTAGCCGAGCTGTGGCACAAGCTGCTCCTCTTTGCAGTTTTCTCTTCCCGGCACCAGGCGCTGGTAACGAGGAGGGTGGGGGTTCCCATCTACGTCCACCAGGAAAGGTGGAGGCATAAGATGGGGTGCCTGCTGCGTCTGCTCATCTAGAACAAAGTTATTGGAGTCCCGTATCAATGGCCGGTAATCCGTATGGAAGAACATTTGGTCTAGAATCTGAAAGCATAGAGAAGCATTGGAATGTGAACAAGAGTGGATTCGATCAACTGCACAACAGGCTAAGAATACCACACATCTGAGACACACACACACCTTTTCATAAGGCTGACTGCACCCAAAGCCGAAGATGAGCAGATGACCATGAGAGTCTGTGCAGGCAAAGTGCTGCCCATCCATTGAAAATTTACAATCAAAAACAGCACCATGCCCCTGGCCCTCAATCTAAAAGACAAAAAGTGACAGAAAATAATTAAACGTCTGTGATAAGCAGTACTTTTATCGAAATCTAGACTGTAGTATACACTACAATTCAAACATTTAGGGTCAGCAAGATTATTTAAAGTTTTTTGAAAGAAGTCTTGAGTTCACCAAGGCTGCATTTTAATTGATAATGGTAAAAACAGTAGTAATGTTGTGAAAAACTATTACAATTTAAAATAACTGGTAAAATAAATAAAATAAATATTAATTAAATATTAATATAAAATTAAAATTAATATTAAATTAAATGTAATAATGTTTACAGGTTTAATAAGTTTTAATTGAAATCAATATCTCACCATATTGAAGAAGTTTCTGATCTTCTGGCCTTTGCTGAGGTCCCAAATGTAGATGTTACCATCATGACCAGCAGATAACAAGATCCGGGAGTCAAAGGGGTGAGCTTCCAAAACAAACACTTCATCATCATGACCCTAAGGACAGATAAACATTTGCCTTTATGATCCATGCATAGTCACAGAAAGTTCCTCCTATGAATTACAAAACAAGGACCAAAAGGAACAGACTGAATTCTGCCTCTCACACACACATACCGACAGCACATGTAGTAATTGGCCATTTGTTGAGCTCCAGACTTTGAGGAGGCAGTTTGAAACGGCTGTGATGATGGAACGATCGCAACGATCCCACGCGACCATGGTCACCACCAACTTTGTCAATTTATCATCGCCTGATATCACAGCACTCCTGTGAACACAATACATATGTCCACATAGACAATTCAAGGACCAACTACATTTTTTTCATCCTCCAAAAGAACAATATGTAATGTTAACATTTAGATCCAGTCCAAACTATGCTTGAGAAACCTGCCTGATCTCACAATTAGCGGATATGTACACACACACTCACCCTGGTAATCTGGTGGTCATGTCCAGCACCGTACTCTTCCATTCCTGCTGTTGGTAATGCCAAATCCGAGCCGTACCATCCCGACTACCACTCACAAACCTGAGACTGGAGATACAGAGCAGCCAACACTTAAAGGGATTTACTTTAGCATTTAGCTTTGTATTAGTAGAAAACCTGTAGCATTTTAAAATAACATGCTTTCCACCCTCATATCCCCCAGAGACGAGAGATTTATGTATTTTTTTTTGTCTGGAAAAAAATCATCCGATGATGCAAAAATCGTCATTTTGCATCATAGGAGGATTTTTTGGCCAGAGGCTAAAGACTACAGTCAGTAGTAGGGGCTGTCCGGCAAGTTTTCAACCCACCCAATAGAGGGTGGGATCTCACTCACAGAATGTACACATAGTGTCAGCCATCTTTTTTTGGAAACTAAGCTAGCAGGCTCTTATTTTGTGGAGAAAGCCGAGTAGTAGGGGTTACCATCCTCTTTTTCCGGCCGTCGAGATCGTAAAATATCCTGGATTCAGCTTTTGCTTTTTGCAGTTGCCATTCATTGTTTACATCTCACCTTTTGTGTCAATCTACCTGAATTCATTCCATTGGTGAATCTGAATGTAGTGTTTACATGAATGCTAAACAAGTGATTGGTTTGTGTGTTTTAACATCGCTAAGAAAATCCCTGCTCCTCCGTGAGGGATACGAGACCGGTGCGTCTCACAGGTTTCTCACTGGCCTCGCACCGTTCTCCCGCGGCCCTCAGTCTCGTTCTGCTCGCCGCGGTAAACATAATGAATGGAGAATGCAAAAGCCGAATCCCGGACATTTTGGCCGATCTCAAAACACATTTTCGGGCAGACTCATCACAGAGACTCACTAATAGCCTAGACTTGTTGTATAACTACTGCGCTCTGTTACCGGTAGGCGTGGCCTCCTAGGGCAACGAAGCAAGTGCATGCTGGGAGTTGTTGTCTTTCATCCACATAAGCCAAAAATACATTTTGTGGCTTTTCTCTTCAACATAAATGACCCATTTTAAATTCACATTCATCTTTCCACAGGTGAAGTATCCCGTTAAAAACACCCAAAAACCAATAAAGATATATGGTACATCCCAATGAACAAGCACGAAAGGAACCATAACATATAAAAAAAAAACGTACCTGTCAGTGTTATTGCAAAACTGAATAGCAACAACTTTATCCTGTAAAACAAAAACATGCATTAAAATGAATGAAACTCTTAAATCAGCACATTTCTAACATGTTTCTCATTTCCCATTCTACATTATTTTTTACAAGTTCTCCTTTCTATCACTATCTCTCTTGCTTTCTTGTCTGTCCACTGGCTTCCTTCTCTGTGTCTCACGCTCTCACCGTGTGGGAGTCCAGGTCAGAAAACTTCACAGGCGTCTCTGTGCCGAGGTAGTAAACTTTGATCATGTGATCTGTGCCTCCAGTGGCCAGAAACATTCCACCTGGGGTCAAAGGACACGATGTCAGAATTATAATCTGACTGGTCATGAGATGATAATAAAGGGACATGAAAAAAATGTTTATTTGAATCAGATCATTAAGTGTTTGGAAGTTGGAGTGTAAGTGTGGGTTAACACACCAGTGCTGAAGGAGCTGCAGGATATCTGAACTCCGGGACGAGAGCGTTCCATGAACTTTACAGGCTTTTCACTGCAAACACAAACACACAGCTAATTGCAAAGTTACTCTAAATAATAAAAGTGAATCATTTAAAACATACAAATGACACTTACACAAACTTCATGCTGAGTGAGTTCCACTGCCAGAAACACACCATGCCATCAGCTCCAGTGGTGGCCAGATACCGAGAGGAACCTAATGCTGATGGAGAAAACTGCAGAGACAGACAGAAAAATATCCTTTAACCACCAAAAACATCTGAATTAAAGTTACTGTAGTCTCACTGAGTCCTTAAAATGCCCCATTATGCTATTTTTAAAGGATCCAATCCCAATTCTGTTTTTGAGGTCTCCTACAATGTGTATTGAACACCACCTCATTTCTCAAAGAATCCAATAATGGTTTGTTCAAAGATTGTCTCTCTAAAGTTTAAACTCCTCCTTTCTGAGAGTCTACTCTACTCTTGATTGGACGACTTATTTCAGCGATTCTTTCTTTTAGGTGACATTAACTTTATGACATCCACGTTGATCTTTAAAACTCTATTACACACTCTATGATAGGTAATGGGTAAAAAGCATAACTAGGGCTCTGTAAGAAAAATAATAATCTTATTTTACAGTACAACTGTAAAATTGCAATTTATATTTTTGGATGACTTCATTTTTAAACATTAAGCCATCAAACTTTTATTTTAACAATAAAAACTGCAGAGAGCCCTTAAAGTTTCTTTTAGACTGCTGAAACCAGCTGGTTTTTAACCACTTCTCATTACAAGTACTGTTCGGTGCATGTTATAAGTGACCTACACTCACAGTGCATAAAGAGATGAGCTCACGTGGAAAAGAATGTACTGTGAAGCGAGCAGATCTCAAATACTGCCAGGTTTATTAGACATTAAGATTAGGAATCAAGCCAGAAAAAAAAAAAAAGTGTGATGTTTGCGTGGAGGTAGGCAGCTTATTCCACCAGAGAGGAGCAGAGATGGAGAACGTTTTGTGACTTTGTGCCTCTATAAAGAAAACGTGTGTTCACACACCTGTATGGAGGTGATGGAGGCTGTGTGTCCCTGCAATACAGCCACAGGCGCACAGGTACGCAGGCACCACACACGGATGATCTTGTCACAACTGGCTGAAGCGAGGAGCGTGTTCTCGAAATTCACTGTCATATCTGAAATCTCTGCCGCGTGTCCACGCAAAGTGGCAAGGAGACGGCCATCATCTGTCGCCCAGATCTTCACTAGACAGTCGTCAGAACCCTGACAGAAACACATGTGCATAAACCTTGATTACAAGCGTGCACACACAGAACATATAATAAAACTACTGATTTCAAGACACCAGTGTTTCCTGCATTAGTATATTAAGCAATAAACATGAAAACAACATCAAAAATGCATGTGCATGGCTTGTAATTGTCTATGCATGTTAAACTATTAAACTAGGACAGGAGTCAACAATATTACACAATTCACTTTTATGTCTAAATCAGGCCCATTTGATGCCCTATCCTAAACTTCTGAGTGTTACACACATCCTCTTTACCGTGAAAATGCGCCGTCCAGTGCGGTCAAACGCCACACAGTACACTGATGAGAGATGGCCCAGGATCCTCCGATGCATCTTCATGTGCTGGTAGGTGCAGGAGGGGAAAGCATGGCCAAATCGAGCCACTCCTGTTTTTTGGCGAGCACCCATGATTGACACTGAGCAGAAAGAATTAGACTGTTACAATCAACAGAACCACAGAAGCTGGTCTACACCGATGGACATTATTCTATCACTAAATAACATGCTAAATAAGTGAAATTCATTCAACAACATTGAAGTCGCAATGAAATGATTCTTAAATAAGAAATAAGTTTAGGACAGGGACTTGGTTCTATTCATTGGTCATTGATAGGATTTTGAGATGCAAGTTATGAACTTTTTACTTTAATCAGCTACCATGAAGCACTATTTTCAATTTGACTCTGTGCACAATCCCAAGTAGTCATTCCTAAAACTAAAGCTAAAACAGCACCAACCCAAAACATACACCATTTAGTTAGCAGGGCTTACCTATATTTGGTTGTTTGGCACAGTCTATAGGTGGTTCTGGGGGCCGTCCCCTGTGCAGGGCGACTACTGCAGAGCCACTCCATACTGTATGAGAAGAACCTTTGAGAGCGAACAAAAGATTGAATTGTTTCAGATGGAGAAAATTAACATAAGGGAAAGTGTTAATGTGATCGTGTGCTTTTCTCAAGTCTTTATGTACAGAATAACTGAGAAGGGTTCTCATTGTTCACTGTATGTAGTGATCTTCTCACTTTTTGCTGTCCGTAGTAATGACTGTCGACCAGTGCCCAGTAAACTGTGGACTCCAGGAACACTGGGAGGAATGTGTTTATCTATCAGTGGGCCAATCTGCTCACACACACGCAACAGGTAATCCGCAGGTATGTGCCGATTTAACAACACCTGAAACATACAGAGATGATTGATACATAAGGTGCTTTGATGGACACAGCCAATCTTATTTGCATTAGGATTAAAAAATGCACAGAAATAACAGCGGGAGTCATACAATATTATAGTATTAAAAAACACATTGTATTAATAATATTGTATTATATTATAGTAATAAACTAGCGTGAATTTTGCTTAATTTCGCCATAATATTCCATATTATTCCCGAAAGACCACCCTTTCCCTCCACAAGCTCCAGCCAATCAGACGCCTTCTCCAGCGATTTTTTTCGTCTCCTAAGTAGCAACTGAGGTTTGATTGGCTGCCGCCTTTGGTTGACGCAGCAACCCACCAATCCGTTCTCGATATATATGCGCTGCAGTAACGCCCCCGGCCGGCACGCACAAAGCCTTTCATTTCAAAACAAATACTTTATATTGAAATTCTTACAACCAAAACTTTCCCGCACTACACTATAGACTCGTGTACATTATAAAAATATAATTCTCGCCGCTAGCACCGCGTTCTCTCATCATTGCTTTTATAAGTTGATGCATTGTAATGCAAGTAAGCCAAGCACATGTGAGAGTTTAGTTCTGTATTTCACGTGCGTGTATGTGTGCGATAGTTTATTTAATCTCACCCAGTCTTCAAAGCTTCGCTTATACAGCTTTCCATCCCAGCTCCAGCGCTTCGGAATGATCTGCACACAAACACAGCGGGGGAGAAAACACATCACATGCGGGATTTAGACACGCAGCCGGGCTGGGATGACGAGGAGATGCTGATGTTGGGAAATTTGAGAGAAATAACGGGTTAGAGTGAGAGAAGAGGCATGAAACTCACCTCATATTCGTGCATCTCCTGAAGCAGCATCTGCAAAAACACACAGAGTTACACACACACACCGTAACACACAATCATTGCTACACACCGACACTCACAAGCCATTTTCCGTCTCACCTGAGCGGATTTCTGACATGGTCCTGACTGCAGGAATCTGGCGATCAGGTAATAAAGTTCTGCAGAGAGAAACACAACAACACCAATCATTAGCTTTAGCTTAGCCTAGCTTAGCCTCGCAGGCTAATGCTAAACAATGCTTAAAGTCTTTCTAGGGATAAAGACGCAGAAATAACGCTAGAGAGGTGCCCACCGGCTTCAATTTGCGAGCACGGTTCCGCCGCCATGGCCCGGTCCGGGCGGTAAATGAAGGTTGGTGAGGCTCTGCTTGCTAAGAGCGGCCTGTGCTGTATTTTCTCTCAGCGTTTCGGCCTGCAGCCGCCGCTTGCGCTGCTTTGTTTGAGCGCCCCCGCGCGGCAGCCGCACGCCAGTGCCAGTATAGTACAGCGCTCCTCCGCCAGGGGCGCCATAAGAGCGCACAGGTGAGCTCACAATTTCCACGGGCGGACATTTTACATGGTGTGATGGTGTCTGTTGGGTAATTTGTTGAAACCAAAACATTGATGTATTGCAATAAATGGACGCATTTGATTTTTAACGTCATATTGAGGATCACAGGTCAAGCGTGTGTGGTTTAAACATAAGATCTGTTGAAATGTTCCATACTACAATCCATGTAGGCTACCATACATGTGTTATGTAAGGAATGGGTTATCCATATTACGTAATACAATTATGTAATGTGCATATATCGAATAAGTGTTCAAATACATCTATCAAACATTTTAGTTGGACATATGGACTGTTGGACATAATTATGCAGAAATGATTCACCCTGTTGTTGTTTTTTATTGCATGTTTCACTTCATTATGTAACGTCCATAATACCTCTGGTTTATTACAATAAAGTTATTAAGATGTTAGTTTGCAAATTATGTGTCCTGATTTGATGTTTTCTGCATAGTTATGAGGAGCAGAGCAAAATATTTATAGGATGTCAGTGTGTTGCCTCTCAGATGACTCAAACTTTAGAGGTCATGGATGCTTGCATTCATTCATCAACTAGACACACACAGCAAGAGCTGGAATCATAGCTTTCAAAGCTATCTAAAATGTATTTATGTGCAGTTTTAATGTCTTAGAGACTTTTTCTAACACTAAATAAAAAAAGCTTTTTCTAAAGCAACAAAGTGTTTACATTGTGACTGTTGTTTTCATTGAATCCTTTTTGCTCTCTATCCAGTTGGTTTCAGAATTTTTTTTTATTCAAGAAGGTATACATTTACACAATATACATTTATAATGGCATACATTTGTGCAAGTAAATAAATAAAACAATGCACCAATAAAATTGGGAAGGGGAAAAAGTACAAATAAACAAAGAGGGGTCTTTTCATTCATCTTCCAATAACTTGCAAGTCCCTTATAATCCCAGCAAATCTGCAGAACTTTTACTCTTTCAATGATGGAAAGTATTTGCAAACTTTAAATCCAGAGAAATATGATTTTCTCTTTTTTGGAAGCTCTTATATTTGTACAGATGACAGTTTTAATGTATAAATGAATCCTAAGAAAGTCTCAGCTTGTGAAAATACTCAAACAGGCACTGTTTTTGATTCAGTGCATGCATTGACTTTAGAAGTAAAAACCTTTTGTCTCATAAATTATAGCTCAACTAAAATTCATATTTGCATTTAGAGTGTTTGTCTCAGCTGTTGTGATTATGATCATTTGTTAAGATTTAAATGCAACGTGAACCAGTGGTGAAATCCACTATTAGTTATTAGTGCATCAAACCACTGTTATAAACACTTGATAACTGATAGAACATCATAATTCTGTATTGTATTCAGTGAAAAAGACCACAGCAGACATTATGAGGAAAACTCCAATGATGGATTTTTATTGAGTGAGACCAAGAGAATTATAGGGGACACTAAGTACTTTTTCACAGATGAATTTTCAGTGTTAAAAAAACTCCAAAAAACGCTTAAATTTTTTTTCTTTGAATCCTGTAATTTCAAAAAAGTCCTCTATAATAACAGAAGGGTTTTTTTCTGGCCTCCTAACAAAGCTCAGTTGCCTGTTTCAACAAATTGCAAAGGTGGTATGATTCTTAAAAACACCAGGAGTCACCATCTAATGCTGAACCTGGAATGTAAGCAGTCTTTAGTTGTTTTCTTTCTTGTCTTCTACATTTGTTGAACTCATTCCTCTTTCTTAAAGACAATCCATTACATTTAAAAGAAAAATAAAACAAACCCCGTACAGAAATGTTACAGACTCCAGAGCAACATCACAAGCACTAACGGACATACAGACTGAGAGCCTCCTCCCACCTCCCACTCCAAAACCAAGCTACAGACCATCCGCTTAAAAAAAAAGAAAAAGAATTAAAATCAGAAAAATCAACAAAACCAAAGAAAGACGCCGCCTTTTTTCACATCTCTCGCGTTGTAAACACCTAATACAGCCGCGGCCGAACACAAGACTTGTTTAGTCAGCTTTGTTTTTTGTGCTAAAAACCTGAACCAGTATTTACAAATTTGCTGATAAAAATATTCTTCTGGTGTTGATGGGCAGAGAGGAGGTTGTTGAGAGAGCTGGAGAGGGAGAGAAAACTGCGAAAGAGAGGAAGATAAAAGAAAGGAAAGGGGGAAAGAGAAAGAATGGACGGATGGATGGACAGGCGTGGTGCTACTCTGTCTTCGGGTCCTCCTTCTCGGGCTCTCCCTCTTCTTCTGGAGTTTTCTCAACCTGTATAATAAAAGGGACAAACCAATGAGAATCAAGCAGGATTGCCTTTGCACCAATCAGAACCATTCTTTACAGATAGAGGTGGTGAAATTTGGAAAATTCACTTTAGTTAAGGCTATTAATGTCTTCATTTTAGGGAATTTATTGAACCATGTTACCTAGTAAGAATTAAAAAGCCTTTTTTTTTTTTTTTTTTAGTTATTTCTTTTAAGGAACTAGCGAAGTAAAGGTTGTTTAATATGATTTTAGGAAGACCGAGGTCTACCTTTAGGTCTACCTTAATACATACACTTTATTACTATCACTATTAAACAACTTTTACTTGTTTTATATATAAATACTATATATACACACTTACCTCGTTGGTCTTAGTCTCGCCATTTTCTGATTGATTCTCCTCCTTGGATTCATCAGCCTTTGCCTTTGCCTTCTTCTCTTCCTTTTTATCGTTCACTTCCTTCTCCTTCTGTGAGAGAGGAAAAGACAGGGCAAAAGAATGACTATAGAGCAATCCATATGAGACAAACCGAATATTGGAAACAAGTTGAGAGTTGTTTTAAAGTGTAAAAGTACCTTGGGAGTTTTTTTCGGTTTGGGTTCAGGTTTTGGAGGGTTTGGTTTCTGAAGGGAAAAGAAAATATATGATTCATTCACAAACTTACTGTTTGATAAGAAAAATGCACACCTAAACAATGAACATCTGAATAGTTAAAATAGAGCACAGTATGGTCTTTGTTGTTCTGCCCTATCCTGAATTTTAAAGATCATCTTAACGGAAATGTCTGGCAAGACAGTGCTAATAAATTCCGAAACTATTTTTAAAGTTCCTGAAGACATTTGAGGACTCCTTAAAAGTAAAACAATTATATAATGGTAACATTAAATATCTTTAAAAAAAGAAAACAACTTACCGCCGATAATCTAGCAGACCTTCTCTGAGGCTACAAAAGGGAGAAAGAAAAAAAATCTATTTATTTGAGGGCAGGTAAGAGAGAACAGATACTTACTGTAATGCCTATTTAAAAATCCTGTTCTTTTCCATTTCACCTTCTTGTGTACCAAGCAAGCTTATACTTAAATAAAGGCTATTATTGGCTCTTATGACAAATTGTTTGTGGTGTTTCACGTTTGTAATTCGATTTAGTAATTGTAATTCAAAAAGTAACAGCTAAATAAATAAGTGTAAATGTAGATATAGAGTAGGCCAAGTAATGCATTTGTAATGATTTTGATTACTTAAATTTGCAACACAAAATTGCTTCAGAGATTCTTAGAATATTCTTTCAGTACCTCCTCCTTGACTTCTCCATCAGTTCCCTGCAAATGAACAAAACAAATATCATAAGTAAAAACATAGTCTATACTTGTATTAACATAAATGGCGGGAAACCCAAAAAGGCAACTTGTATAAACATTGGGATCTGCGAATCTGCATGTTTGTATATGCGAGCAACATATTGGGGTGGCATAAAAACGTGTGTGGTTAGCTCTATTAAAGTTTAAATAACTTTTCTCAGAGAGGCTTTGCGTATAAGTGTATTTGTCAGCGGACGGCAGTGCAAAATGGTGAGCCGATTTTTTATTTATCATTTTTCACGGAGACATTTCACTTCACAGGCTCCAGGCATTTGGATAAGGAGGAGGGGCGCGATTATCCCGCCTCAACGCTGACACCTGGCGGCAAGCAGGCGTTACGACACTCCTCTTCCATGGCGAACAAAGAAAATGCGTTAAAACTGTTTAAAAACGCGAGCGCCTTTTCGCAAAATTGCCACCATTCAGAAAATTAGAGTTATCCAGCTATTTTTTAATCCCCATTTTACAGCGCCTGAGCCACGATTACGCTTATAATCGTCGGTTTTCGCGTCGCGCTGTGTTGGAGATGGAGAGAGAGAGAGGGCAGCATGGCTGCGGTTCCACGGGCATGAGATCAAGCCGAGCTTCAGCACAGCTCTGCTCCACTAAAACCCTCCTGCTTAACGCACCACCGTCGACTAAAACACCGCGATCCGGCAGAAAAAATCGCAAAATTAACAACGATTTTTTATCTGCCCACTGATTCTAAAGAAGTCGCCTGGATTTTTATTAAAAAAACATTGTCTCGAGGGCTTCCTAATTTCACGACTGATTAGTAAGGGCAAAAGTGTAGCCGTGCGCCGCGCTCGGCTTTTCTACATACCTTTCTCTTGGGCATGTTGAGTTTGGGATATTTTTCTTCTTTTATGCAAAACTAACAGGTTATCTTTTGTGATTCGTAGTTCACAGTTCAGGAGACTGTCGTCCGCTATGCACTAATTCTGTAGTAAACACAGGGCTACATTAGAGAGCCAGTGGTTGAATGGGAGGGTGGGGGCGGGGCCATGTTGTGACTGATGTTCCGCTTGTCCAATCAGCGGGCGCCTGTGTCCGCCACAGAAGAGGCAGATTCTTACCTCCGCTGTGCTTTTACGCGCGAAATCCTGAGGTGTAAATCCAACAGCGGAGTTTCCTGTTCAATTTCCCTCCCGACATGTTAAAATATAGTATGATGTGAGTGCGTTCTGCACCAAATAATGCTCTGCCGTACAGTATTGATGTGAAAGGGACAAGCTCACGTTTAACCCCAGGGATAAAGTCAGACCCTCATGGGTGTATGCTATAGCTGCATCTGTGAAGTTTTTTTTTTTAAGCAGATGAGCAGCTTACCTTATGAGCTCTTTCTATGAAAACGTTCCTATGTGCAAATATAATGAAACATGAAATTGCAATCACTGTGCGCACATGTGGCAATCTGTAATAGAGAAGAGGAGCCACAAGACATTTCTCACTTCTGCTTTGTTTAAGCAGTGGCCTAATATGTGTGTGTGTGTGTGTGTGTGTGTGTGATCTATAACTGCTTACTTCCTCTGCTGCTACCCAGATCTGAGACGCAAGCTCAGAGAAAACATATCAGACACAGATATATAGACAGACAGAAGGATATAGATGAGAGAACTTTCAGAAAGTGACACTATAGATTGAACTTTTGGCTTCTAAGCATTACTGTCACTCTTACGATTTCTGTTTCTGCAACCATACAAAAAGGCATTGGCCTACCACTTTAAAACTGTTGGTAAGTTTCTTATATCCATATTCCTAATAAATAGATTGTTGTGACGAGGCTGTAATGATCTGCTTTTGTTTTCTTTACTGGTTGTCTAAAGGGTTTTGTTTAAAATCAGAGTAATCTATATTCTGAGGGGATTTTTATTAATTTTAGATTTTATTAAAGAACTTATTAAGGAAGGAAGTGTAGGCCTAATCATTCCGTTCTTTTTAATTCCTCATTTCAGTTTGATTTCATTCATGTTATTTTTAATGTTTGATTTTGCCGTCTTATGATTACTCTGTTTTTTGTATTTGATTAAGTTTCTTCTTGAGTAAAATGTATATTCACTGGAGCTTGATCTGTGTGTGTGCGTGTGCGCAGGGGGCTATCATGCTCGGAGAAGCTTTCCTTCATGTTCTGAACTGCACAGAAGACACCACGAAACATGATGGACACTCTCACACACTCTCATCCACCCTCACGACCTGTCCCGACCCCTGCATGACACACGCCACTGCCAGATCACCTCTGCCACCACAAACTGTGAGAGGTGAGAGACCTCAGAATTCTGGGTTATTAGGATGAGGTTGTGTTAAAAATAACATAAAGTCATGATCTGACTGAAGGCATTAGGAGATGAACAATTAAGCAATATCACTTATAGACTATGAATGTGGCCCAGGTCCTGGGAACAGTCAATAAATGTAAAAATAAAATTCAGGAAGGAAGTGTGGTGCTGCTGAGAACTTTAACCCACAAACTGAAAAGCCACTTAAATGCAGGTGTTACATTTGAGCACATGGTTAAAAGGATAGTTTGCCCAAAAATGACAATTCCTCCATAATTTATGCACTCTCATGTCATTACAAAGCGGTATGATTTTAATTCTTCTGCACTGCAGAACACAAAAGAATATATTTTGAAAAATGCTTAGATGTCTATATCATGAAAAAACAAAACAACTTTCCTTTTATGGAAAAAAAAAATGCTTACAGGTTTTTGACATGAGGATGAGTACGATGACATTTATATATATAATTTGGAGTGAACTATGTATTTTAAGTCACCATGAAATCAAAATTGACAATGGGCCCTTTTCACGGACTTTGATGACACGTTTCCAGAGTGATCGACACCGCAAATCTAATAAAGTTTTAAATATTTTCATTATTAATATTTACACATTTATAACACTATACTTTGACCACCTTGGCAGCAAATGACAAAAAAAAACGAATTAATGCTGCAATGTTGTTTCTAATACAACTGCTGAGGAAGTGATGGCAAATTGGACATCTTTCTCTCTTCTAACTGCTGGAATCTAACTCTATATTTTCTCTCATTTGGAAAGTTTTGGAAACTCTATAACAAATTTTTTAGAGCAATGCATTTGCAAAAATTATATTTGCTGTCATCTCCCATTCACTGCTATAGAAGTTTACCTAACTATGCTGACTTCCGCTTCTGAGAACCCTGGAAATGTGAAATGGGTCCATTCTTATTTTTTAATGAAATATTGCAGTGTTAATTATACATTATTTATCCATGCATTATTGAAAAATATATATGCCCTCGTAATCTTTAGTCAAAATCTTTAACTTCCCCTTCCCTTCCGGCAACCTGTCACTCACAAACGACAGCAATCAATTTGAGATTGTTATTTAAAAAATAATTCAAGAACCTGTCACTCATATTATACAGCAGAATAGAGAATAAAAAATGATCATAATTACAAACGTGCCTACTTTAAGTGATAATATTGTGTAATAGAGTAAACCAACAAAATTCCAAGGCCATTTTAGTGGCTCACAGCTACAATAAATAAAATAAAAAATTCCAAATACTTCCTCATTTTGTATGGAGACATTCAAACTGTCATACAGTGTATCAAGTGAGCTCCAAACTCTGGGCTTTCTTACAAATGTCCACATTTTTTGGCTATTTGTTATGTGCTATGTTAAGATGAGGCTGGTTATAGCCGTGCTTAAAACATTCTCTCTTCATGGCAGCTGTCAGGCCCAAAGGCCTGGAAAAGCCAAGGCAGTGCCGGTCCTCTGCACCCAGCAACGCTATGCCCATTCATAGCTGTAGCAGGGAGGAAGACTTGGGCATGACTCTATATTGCTCCTGGTGCTGTCCCAGCTTCTACAAGGACTATCCAGACCTCCGGCTTGCAGGTGACCGGCTGGAGCACTGGAGTCCTCATAACCCAGACCTGCTCAACCCACCACCGGACGACGGACCACTGCTTCAATCTCAGGACTTGATCTCTCTGGAGCCTTCTTTGGAGCTAAGTCAACAAGCAGTGGGTGTAAGCCAGCAGGACGAGGGGTATCTCGTCATGAGGAGTGTTCAGAGCCCAGGCTGGGAGAGAAGGCTCACCAACTCCATGTTGAACGGCTATCTGGAGGTCCAAATGCTGGAGGTGTTTTGCCAGCATATGCAAAACATGGCGTGCTGCGGATCTTCATTGCTGGGCGCTGACGTCATGCCGGCACTGGTGCCCACCAGCCTGACTGTATCCAAGGAACAGACACTCCCCAGTCAGGAAGAAGAGCTGGGTTCTTCATCCAGTAATGTTGTGCGATACTTGAGCACTTGCTCAGCTCCAGCCACCTCCCACTTCAGCTCACCTGTGCTGCGAATTTCAGAAGATGAGTAGCCACACTTAGAAACACACTCCTGACCTAATAAAACTTCCTGTCTTTTGACCAACACACAAATTTTTGTTAAAGGAATGTTCTGCGTTCAGTACCCACATCATTTGTGGCATTTAGATTACCAGAGATTTGTTTTGACTAATGCCAGGATTTTTGTAAAGCAAAAGTATAGATAGAACATTAACATACACAATGTTTCAAATGTATAGATCGTATGTAGCCCCGGGCCTTTTCAGCGTTGCGCTTGTTGTGTTCTGTCTTTTTTGGTTTGTATTTTCACAAGGTAAGATTTTATGGATTTATGAATGAACCGCTCGTTTTAAATTCTTCCCTTTAAATTACATTTGTCATGACATCCACTTTAAACATTGCAATGCTCATGATAACTTTAGTTAACTCTACAATAGGTGAATGAATCCATGTCACAAGCTTATTACTCCCCAATAGCGATCCTATAGAAATATTTGAGCTATAGCGCAAAAACGGAAGTTCAAAGACAAAATTCTAAAGATGGCTGCATGCTTGTTTCTCTGCATGTTATCATTGGGTTTGATAACTTGTGAACTTGTCTATATAAAAGTTACACTACTGTTCAAAGGTTGGGTCTGTATTTTTAATAAGTCTCTTATGCTCACAATGAAGGCTGTATATATTCAATCAAAAATACAGTAAAAAACACAATATTTTGGAATATTGTATTGTAAAATGTACTTTATTTCATTGATTATTACACATGATCCATCAGAAATCATTCTAATATGCTGATTTGGTTCTCAGGAAACATTTCTTATTATTAGCAATTCTGAAAAACTACTGGAAACTATTTGAAATGGAAATCTTTTGTCAAATTGTCTTTACTGTCACTTTTGATGAATTTAATGCATCCTTACTGAATAAAAGTGTTGATTCTTTTTTTTCATATCAGCACATCATAAGAGTGCTTTAACATACATGAGTCTTACATTTCTATATTTAGACTTTCCAGACTGCTGAACTCTTTACTTCCATGTTAAATACTAAATTGCCTACGTAATTATTACTGTAACTGCAATTTGTGCTTTTTTATAAAAGAAAAAAACCTACTGAGGGACAGTTCTGTTATAATTTTTAAAATGTTTTTTTTCTGTTATATTTAAACGTTCTGCTACAAATTCTGTCAATAGAGCTTAACTTTTGTTTAACTCAGAACATTCCTTTAATTTACATTTTCATTAATGCTAATTCACCCTTTCCAGACCTCACAGACTGACAAATTGTGACCAACTGCAAATCCCTCAGAAAACCCACAAACAAGTCCAATGCCATAGCAGAGTGCCTCTTTTCTTTTTACTCATCCACAATCCTCCTCTCTCCTCTGCACTCCATTGTAAGCTTCCATCAACATGGCATGTTTAGAAGAAGAGGAACCAAAGTCATGCTGTCATGTGTAGACTGTGTAATGACATCTATAAATGTTACCACTTCCTACTAAACAGCCAATCAAATGTTGTTTAACTCCATCAGTCCTGCTGCTAAATGCTACTTTCGCTTTCCTTGTAATCATAATAAAGCGTTAATAATGAATTTAAACTCCTCAGTTCTAATATAGTGCCATGATTCAGTTAAATCAATTCCCTTTTCCATTAGATGTTTTGGTAATGTTTCAATAATGTGAAACTGTGTAATGTGTATTTTTAAATACTGCCACCTGCTGTTCTTCCTGCAAAATGACACCCTGGCGCTGAGAACTGCTGATACTGTGCACGCGCCCTCTGCTGGGAGCGTTCAGAACAGCGGCCAATGTCACCATCAAGGTTCGTGTCATAGTCATACTGGCCATGGCATTGTCCTTCACCTGTGAGACCTCAGCTGTTGTATATTACATCGATGTGTTTACAGTTGAATACTCGCATTACATTAATATATGTTATATTAAGATTTTCATTTTATTGTAGTATTGAATGGAAATAGTTTAAATGCCTTTGCTGACATGATGTTTTGACGTCACTCTGACGTTACATTCAGGGAGGTGCAGACATAACTGTTAATGGGCCATAAATGTGTGTTTGTGTGCATGCTGATATCCTGGCACCGGTACACAGGAGCCAAACTCACAGCATCATCAACAGGATTAACTGTTAACTGATCTGTAAATGTGTTTGCATGTGTGTGTGTGAATCTGATCTGTGCCAACATGGCTACTTCACACTCTTGTAGCTGCTCTGTGGGCATTTAAACGGGCTCTTTAGCCTGGCACCATGTCGCAAACCGTAATACCAGATGGACCGCTCTCTCTCTCTTTCTCTCTCTCCACTAGTCCTGGAAGTTGCCCAAGCCAAAATATCATTTAAACTATCCCTTGCCATATTTTGACGTCATGTGGTGGGACAGGAATGTAAATGCATACCAGTCAATGATGTGACACTAATTTATGTGTTGGATCTGTAAAGTAAAGGGGGAAAAAGACAGCAATGGTAAATGCAATTTATAGAGTCAAATACACCTATACACCTACACACTACATTTCTTAGTGGCATGTTTTTGTTTTTTTTAAAGGATTCCCTTTTTATCATCTCCCACATTCGTGTTTATTAGCCTACTGTCCCACAGCCGGAGACCCAGCACCCCCAATTTGTTTAGTCTTTCTGTGCATTTGCGATCATTTGAGCTGCACAGACTTCTGTTCTCTATTTTATCGGGTGACCCGGTTTCCCTGGTTCGGTCGGTTGCGGTTACCTCACTTTGCTGAGCAGCTATTGGTTTAGCTGGCGCACACACCGACTTATGCCATACGAGTGATATTGGGCAACGGTGACGTAAGCGAACGGGCGCGCAGAAATTTTCCAGACGAGGACGGAGGAGCGAGCTTGTGTAGACCCGAAACGGTCCAACCGAGAGAGAGAGAGCGAGAGAGCGAGAGAGAGAGAGAGAGAGAGAGAGAGAGACGCATACAAGCACGCATACCAAGTATCCGTTTACAAGGCACTCGGTTGCATCTCGCGCTCAGTATCGGGCCCAGTGGAGCTGTTCAGCGTTTATCGGTAGTGTCACCGAACAGTCCCCACGCTCACGGAACCGCTGACCCATGTGATACTGCAGCGTTGCGAGCGCGGAAGGGAGGGGGCGAGAGACACATCCCCAACCACCCCCACCCCCCCCGCATCTCCACTCGATAGACTGGAGAGAAGCAGGTGCACACTTGGGAGAGAGAGAGAGCGAGAGAGAGAGAGAGAGAGCGCGCTGGAGGGGGGGCGGGTAACGTTAGAGTCGCGCGCGTGGATCTCTCCGTCGCAGTCCTCCGCGAGGATGTATCCAACAGCAAGACTCCTGCCGCGCGCGCGCTGCCGTCAATGTAACGGAATCACATGTGCCCCTGTGAACTAACGGCGGTTCTGATCTGTTTCTCTGGGTTCGGATGGTCCGCGCGCTCCATACACAATTCAACCGGGAAATCAACGCACACCAGCCATGGCGCTGGTCATGGAACCCATCAGCAAATGGTCCCCAAAGCAGGTGCTGGACTGGATGAAAGGTAAAAAAAATCCCCCATTTGTCCCCCGCAAGTAACTCTGCACGACCAATAGCCGGTGGGAGAGGAATGGGTTAGCGGGAAGAGCGTCTCGGCTGCATGCGGGCTGTGCTCGTCTCTGCCTGTGCCGTGCAGTGAGGTATTGATCGAGCTTGTGTGCCATTTTGCGCCTTTGCTCGGCGCACCATGGTGTGTGTGATCTGCACAGCGCTACACGCGTCGCGCAATAGGGGGTGTGCGTGTGGTCTGGGGATGCGTGATGTGTATGTGTGTCTGTGTGCGCGCGCTCGCGTGTTTTGCAAGTAGATTAGCAAAAACGGTTATGACAAAGGGCGACATGGCGTTTTCATACAGCACATAAATATACACATACGTGCATGTGCGCACACACTTCAGAGAGAGAGAGAGAGAGAGAGAGAGAGAGAGAGAAACAGTGCTGTTTCCAGACTCAGAGAATAAATCTCCCTCTCGCGCAGTGATAACTAGCACCATGGACAGATCCAGGCCGTCGCGCGCTGTGCTGCGCTGCAGATGCGCGTAATCTAGGGACTTGAAGAGGGATGACGGTATCTTTGGAAACCAGCTGAGCCTTGACACCCATGACAAACATTTACTCCTTTAAACTAATTAGTATCTATTTTTATGTCACTAGAACTTGGGGTTTAATTACCATAAGTAATCCATTTGTAGCCTATCATTTTCAATTGTTTAGATTCGTGTGCTTCCTACAGTGACTAGTATATTAACTTTGTCACTCACAGTACATACTATTTCTCATTTATTTGCTTCTAGTCACTATTCTAATATGGACATGTATTTATTCCATTACTGGAAACAGTACATTCAATGCTTCAAATATGTTACTTCTACCGTATAACCTCCTAGTAGCCTACTAGTTGACCTATTTATTTCTTATGTACTTCTAACAATCATAATAGTTATCATAATAGTGTAAATTTCAGCTTCACTTGTACTTATTTTATTTATTAGATATACCTTATTAGATAGAGATTATTGTGTCTATCCGAATTGTACAGTAACATAAAAATAGATAGTATTTCTTTTTAGGAAAACTAGGTTAGAATAGCTTTGCATAAACCCATCCAGAAAGCAAGAGAGAGTAGGCTATCCAAAAGCTGCTTGCCGATAGTTGAAGGCACACCATGAAGGTTTCGTCATGCAGTTATAGCTCAGGGATGTGGACTTGGCCTTTCCTTTTTTGGGAAAAACTGACGGCATTTTCAAAAAGCTATGCAATCTGACATGACAACTGGTATCTGATTGGAAATAATTTTCCATCTTCTTTAGATGACATGCAAAGACACACGGATGGATGATACACAGACGATATAAGTAGAACACAATGGAGCAGCTGAGGTGGAGAGACATAGGGCCGAAATACCAGCAAGATCAGATGCTATCTGAAGTGAAGTTTAAGGGCATTAGTGCACATGACATTCAGGTGCTCATAAACTCTACTCATCAGCATTTCAAAGGTCAAATATCCTTTGCCACCAATCTAATAATGGACAAGTGTACACAGGTGAATCAATAATGCTTGTGATCTGTATGTCCAAAACACCCATACATGCCGATTACATGTCCCTCAGGTCTCTCCTGTATCTATGAATGTACAGTGCCCTCCACTAGTATTGGCATCCTTTGTAAATGTGCAAAGGCTGCTGTGAAAAGAAATCTGCATTGTTTATCCTTTTGATCTTTCATTAAAAAAATCACAAAATTCGAACCTTTCAGTTAAGTTAAATAATTGAAAGTGGGCCACAATTATTTGCACCCCTGGATATTCTTATTAGTAAAATGTCTCTGAGGTATATTCCCATTCATATTTACATTTTCTTAGCACACCAGAGTGACAAGGAGCATGAAATTGTCCAGCCAAGACCTCCTGTTCCACTGACTGGAGTATAAATATGAGGAAACACAAAGGCCATATTCCCTTAATCATCCATCACAATGAGTAAAACCAAAAAATACACTTCTGATGGGTAGCAAAAGATTGTCGAGCTTCATAAAATAGAAAGTGGCTGTCAGAAAATCCCCTTTTCCACCAGGGTAATAATTAAGAAGTCCCAATCAACTAAAGATGGTATGAATCTGACTGGAAGAGGACAAATGCGTCTATATCGTCCAAATGCACATCGGAGGAAACTCTGAGTATAGCCAAAGACTCTCCAATGATCACAGATGGAGAATTGCAGAGATTAGTTGAGGCTTGGGGTCAGAACGACTAAAATGTTTTATTTGAGCACAAAATGAAGCTTCTGCCATGACCATGCAGTTCTCTGACCTGAACCCAGAAAATGAGTGTGCTGAACTAAAGAGAATAAGCACCGACTTGGGAATCTGAGTGATCTGGAGAGATTCTGTATGAAAGAGTCTCTGATCTCTTGTCAGGTGTTCTCCAAACTCATATTTACCAAGGGTGCCAATATTAGTGGAGGGCACTTAGGCAAAAAAAAAAAAAAAAAAAAAAGCATCTTTTGGTCATTGCTATTATTGGAATAACTGCCTTGTAAGTTCATGTATTTAATAGGTTAGTGTTTCCTACAGAATTTTACATTTATACGAAACGTTTCACCAGATTAATTCTAACCATTTTATCATTAAAAAAACAACAACAATTTATTAAAAGAGAAGCAGCCATTTGTTCAAGAATTGGACTACTCTGGTCACTCTGTTTTCAATTCACCAAAAAGAATCTTCTAAAAACAGTAATTTGTTTGTGAATAGGATTACCCTCATCATGCTGTTTGTTTCTGATTCACTAATGAGAACTGGCTGACAAGAGTCATTTGTTCAAGATCTGGATTACCCAGATTGCGCTGTATGTTTTTGATTCACAGTAAAGAACCAGCTCAAAATAGTTTGTTAATTGGACTAAACTGGTGGTCACGTTGTATGTTTTTGCGTGGAAGCACTTGAGGATATTACAACAGAGAGATTCTTCTTGACACTGTTTCATGGTGCACAGTCTTTATATTTGATCACAATTTAGACTGCAAACTCAAATTGATAAAATTTCTTCGCCACACGATTGCATTAGAACTGTACATTTATTCAATGGACTCTACTTAATTGACATTACTCTTAATTGTAAGATTTCTGTAAAGCTGCTTTGAATCTATACACTGTAAAAAATATTGTTGGTTTAACTTAAAATGTAAGTAACCTGGTTGCCTTAAAATTTTAAGTTGATTGAACTAGAAAAAGTGAGTTAATACAATGAAGTAGATTAATTTAACCATCAGAAACTCAAAATAATAAGTTATCTCAACTAAATAAATTATTATAAAGTTGATTTGACAAAAGAAAATATGTTGTGATTACAAATCTTGAAAATATTTTTTAGAGTGTATTGTGAAAATTGCTATAACTGAATTGAATTGAATTCTCCCCTGTGCAGGATCACTGATTAGTTCTGTATTTTAGAAAACTAGGTTTCACGGCCAGTTGTGCAGGATGGTTTCCATTTTCAGGAACCCTGTTCACTGTCTCAGATGCAACTGCAAACTATAGCTGCTTGTGCATAATCTTCACAATTACTGCTGACAAAGAGTTTGTCAGACCTCAGAGCACCTGATCCTGGGTCATTTTGCTGGTATTGATGCTTTCTATTGCTTTGCATAAAATTTTCATAGAGATTCTGCACAAGAAAAAATCTCTCAGTGTGATTGTTTTGTGTTTATTCTTCACTGTTTATTTCCTAAATTGAAGTCTTGGAGCAACTGCCATTGCCATATTTCTGGTAAATGTGCATTTTATTTGTTTTCTTACACTTGGCAGAAGTGTAAATAGAAAAAAAACTTGCATGCAGAGATGTGGCATGGGCTGATGTTGTCTAGGGATAATCTGCCGCCTCTAACATTACAGACATCTTGTAATATAAAACTGTGCTGCGTGCCCAGTTTTGACCTTTACAGCTTACATTTGAAAAATCATCATGTTGGTTGACATATGATAGGATCTTATACCCAAGACGACAGTAAGGACTGTGGGTATGCAACTATGCATGTGGTTCAGCAGTTATTGTTAAAGGGTTAGTTCACCAAAAATTATCCTGTCATGTTGTTTCAAACCCGTAAGACTTTCTTTAATCTTTGGAACACGAATGAAGATCTTTCTGATGAAATCTGAGAGATTTTGACAGTTTGAAGCTATAAAAAGTTCATAAAGAGATTGTAAAACTAATCCATTTGAATTGAGCCGTTTAGTCAAAAGTTTTCTGGAGAGATTCAATCACTTTGATGAAGAAATTTAATTTAGGCTAATTAAGTTGTGGTTAATTTAATTTAGGTTAATTTCAGTTGTGGGAAACGGAAGCTACGCATTTATGACGTGCAAGAACCAATGAGGTTAATTCTCAAGTTACGTAGCACATTTGAGTTTCCGCAAGAACCAATGAGGTTCATTCTCATGTTACGCAACACGTTTGAGCTTCCGCAAGAACCAATGAGGTTCATTCTCATGTTACGCAACACGTTTGAGCTTCCGCTAGAACCAATGAGGTTCATTCTCATGTTACGCAACACGTTTGAGCTTCCGCTAGAACCAATGAGGTTCATTCTCATGTTACGCAACACGTTTGAGCTTCCGCTAGAACCAATGAGGTTCATCCTCGTGTTACGCAGCAGTTGTAGTCGAGACCACCTCACTCGAGTCCGAGTCTAGACCGAGACCAGAGAGAGTCGAGTCCGAGTCAAGACCGAGTCCATAGAGAGTCGAGTCCGAGTCGAGTCCGAGACCAGAGACGGTCGAGTCCAAGTCGAGACCGAGACCAGTGAGGGTTGATAACCTAATTTACTTTTATTTACCAAGAGAAAACCTTTTTTTTTTTTTTTTTTTTTTACTGAATTTACTTAGAGTTTAAAAAATATGATCAGTTTAGGGTAAAAAAGCCACATAGTAAAAGCAATTTTATTACAATTTGTCATGCGCAGTTGTGCACTAGAAAATCACCAATCATTGGGCGTGTCAATCAATTT